GATAAGAAGCCACGGGCGCAGGAAGAGAGTAGAGTGACATGGGAAGTCACCGACCTTTAACGCATCAGAAATACTGTTCTGTGTCGCTGGACGGGAGAGGGAGGAGGGAAAGGGAGAGGAATGCAGGCAGTGGGGAGGGCAGGCACCGACTTTGTTCTTTCATCCTGAACACTTTTGTATACATTTGATATTATCCTTAATAAAATGATGAAATTAGCTGGATTCAAACCCTGTCATCTGCATCACAGCACGACTTCTGAGGTACTCCTTAGCCTCTCTGTGCATCACTTTCTTAATATGTAAAATGGCAATAATAGAACCTACTTCTTGGACTTAAGAATAAAAATCATCTATATATCTCTATCTGTTTAAAATCATTATAAAATTAAATTATATATATATATGTTTATAAACCTGCCTGTGTGTTTTACATAAGTAAAGTTTTAAGCACAGGTACATATTATGGCATCTTGATACAGCAGGGATCACTCATTGAAGACCATTATTAATACAAAAGGCAGAGTTTGTTCCAGTACCTACATCAGACTTTAATTCATGTCATTTTTTATAACACAAAGTTTCTCCTTATTTTTCAAGAAAGCAACCAAAGCTCAGTGAAAAGCCAGGGCCATGTTGGCACTGCTAGAAATGTCGCCTACAGCATTTGGTAGCCCTGTGGTCAATGTTCCCATCCTCAGCAGCCCCTCCGGACAAGCCCCCGGTCCTGACAGAGAAGAGCAGATGACTTATGTTCAACATAAAAGTGCCCTTCTCAGGGTCAGGCAGGGCCACTTTAATTCCCCTGACTATATAAATGAAGGTGTATTTTCCCATAAAAAATGCTCTAAGACATGATCAATATTCACTGCAGCCTTCAAACTGATTTGGTTTCAGCCTTGCACACAGTTAATAAACATTCAGCAAAGTTCCACATGTCAAGATAAATGATAATGAAGAAATGGCATTTTTTTACCTGAAAAAAATTTATTGCTATTAGATAACTTGTATGACACAATATCTCTGTAAGTTAAGGAGGGATTTTTCCTGTTTTTACTTTAAACACTTTTTCAATATATCTGAAACATGATTGATTGATGAATTAATTTTCCCTAAGGTGATGTGATCACTGGCAAAGAGGATATTCTCATCCTGTATCCAGTTTGAAGGCAGACTGCCGTTGGAGTGGAGTGAGTTTTTCACCTGCTCCAAGAAACTAAGAGAAAGTATCACCCCCTCCCAAGGCAGGAACATCTCCCGGCTCCTCTGCTCATGAGCAGGAATGTGGAGCCACTTGGGGCAGTGCTCGGCATCTCTGCTACAATTGGGCCCATTGCACAGAGTGTGCTGTCTGCATCTCTGCAGGCTGAACTCCTGTCTGCAACTTCGGGACCAGACTTTCTGTAAGGACACTGGGGGACACAGAAGGAGATATGAGACGTATGAGTCTAGGAGATGTGGCATAAACATTGTCATTTTATAATTTATAGGCACAACTGTAAAAATGCAGAATTTAATAGTTATAATGGTTTCAATATTCCTGGAGGATGTAGTCCTCATCCTTATTTAACAGGGGGGATGTCCGAACACCCACCTGAAGGTAAACACAGATTTCCTCCAAACATCCTAGAGTCGTGCACACTGGGTGTTGGACACCTGAGCACTGGGGCTTCAACATCTTGATAAACAGGGCATAGGAAAGGAGAGGGAGATTAAAAAAAAAAAAGTTAAATCTGAACAGTGAAAGAAAAGTATCCAACCAGGTTTTATTCCCCTGGTGGCAACTGAGTCATCGCTCTACTTCCGGTCTGATCCCTCATTCCACATCTCTGGATCCAGGCACCTGCGACTACAGACAGGGCAGAGGATTTTTTTTTTTTTTTTTTTTAACCTGCTCCTCAGTCAACTGAAAGCAGTTTGAGATAGGAATCATGTCTGGTTTTGGTTTCCACATTGTAGACAACTCTGTAAGTTTCCAGAATGAATGCTGGAGCCTAGGGATTTCTGAACATGCACAAAAGTTTAAGGGAACCTTGGTGATCCGCTGAGCCAGAGAGTCCTGCCAGCATGATAACTCGACTCAAGATCCTAATTTTAGGGGGAACTTTGGTCCAGGGGATAGGACTCTGCGCTCCCAATGGAGGGAGCCGGAGTGTGATCCTTGATCAGAGAACTAGATCTCACAAGCCGAAATTAAGACCCGGAACAGCCAAAAACAAAAACAAAACAGAACAACTCAGCAAACAGCTGTGCATTTAAAAATTACCGTAATCTTAGAAAAACAGGTCATTTTGACTGTTGAGAAATTCTATGTCCATTAATAGGTATCATTTGAAGAAGACTGCTCTTGTGTTCAACTGACTTGGTCATTGCCATTTAGAAAATTTTATTTTTAATTGGAAGATAACTGGAATCCTAGAGGTAAAACGATGACACTAGAACCCTCCCAAACAGCATACACAAAAATAAACTCAAAATGGATTAATGACTTAAATGTAAGGCCAGAATCCATAAAACTCTTAGAGGAAAACATAGGCAGTCCACTCTTTGACATACATCACAGCACGATCCTCTTTGACCCACCTCCTAGAGTACTGGAAATAAAAACAAAAATAAACAAATCGGACCTAATTAAACTAAAAGTCACAGCCATTGTTCCTGGGTTGACAGCACTCCCCTGAGAGCCTGTGTAAGGCAATCTCACAGGTAGCTGCAACGTCCCCATGCCTTAAAATGGTTTATGTCAGCAAAGAACAATGTTTTGACTTCTTACTATAATACAGTCTTACTTTGCATAAGGTAAACCCAATCCTAAAGAAAACAAGCTATGAAATGACCACGTTAAATCTTCTGGGTTCACTTCACTAGCCCAGATAATTGCACAGGAAACTAGACAAATGGGCTGACAGACACTGAGCAAACAGTTCTTTCCATTGAGATTCCTGAATCCCTAATAAATAAACAGAAGACAGATAAATACCACATACACATGCCTCTGGAATGAAGAGTGCCTGGCTAATATATTCAGCATCTAAACTTGACATCCTAAAAAAAAAATACTTAAATTAAAACAACTATGTGACAAGAAGTAAATGATAGTGTGTTGGTCCTTTAATGGACTGGAACCTGGTGGTCTGGAGTCGACGATAAGAAAGTAAGAGAGAGAAAGAGGCTGATATCCCTGGTTTATGCGGAAAGCCAATAAAGTTCTGTTCTTTGAGCTGGCGCTGCTGCACGTTGGCACCAGGTGCCCTCTCGAGTGGCTGAAGAACCAGTGCGCCTTCCTGAGAAAGTCTTAGAAGCCCGGGCAAGAGAGTGAGCTCAGCGGGCCTCCGCGCTCCAAGGAGTTAGCCTGAAAGAGAGAGAGAAGGAAAGAGAGAAAGAAAGACACGGGGACCCAAGCTCTGATGGAGCAAAGGTGATTTAATCGACATGGTGTGGGCATATATACTGTCTTACAAGGTAGTTATTCTCAGCAATTTCACTAGCCCAGATAATTGCACAGGAAACTAGACAAATGGGCGGACAGGTACTGAGCAAACAGCTCTTTCCATTGAGATTCCTGAATCCTTAATAAAACAAATAAACAGAAGACAGATGAATACCACACACATGCCTCTGGAATGAAGAGTGCCTGGTTAATATATTCAGCATCTAAACTTGACATTCTAAACAAAATACTTAGTTGAATTAAAACAACTATGTGACAAGAAGTAAAATGATAGTGATTGTGTTTCAAGAACCAGAGTACCTAATTAAGGTCACCTGTGCCTCATGAGGCCAAAGGTGTGAGGTTGCTGTCACCCAGGATGGTCCAACTCCCCCCCACCACTCCCTTGCCCTTATCTCTCTCTCTTTTTTGTCAACATTCCTCCCCTCTGGTACAGAGGTCCACAAGTTTTAGGTATTTCAGGATCTCCGTTCTCCTATTCTGTCTCAATCCCACAGTGAGACAGCTACACTATTTTTGGTAAATCCCTCATGCACTGGTGCCTAGAAACTGCCTCCATGAAGTAAGTTGGGCAATGTTTTTGGTCATCTCATCTGTCTTGCTTATCTCTGTGCTACCTGATGTTCAAGGCCCAAAAATAGCTTTCTAGTTGGAAGATCAACTCTACCTTTATCAGTGAAAAAGAAGTCATGTGTTTTACTTTTATTGTGTTTTACAAATCAGTCATTCCATGATAAATCAGGATAATAACCTTATCATTTAACTACACATTATTTGACACCTGCCTTAGATAAAATTTTCTCCACGGCATGTTGACAGAGTCAACATGAATATAACTACTTCAGAGAAATTACTTGGGAAGAGGAGGAAGCACTTTCCATACAGAGGGATCCTTGTCTGACCCACGGGAATTGGAGACATACGCGAGGGAGAAACCTCTGACTAGTCCATCTAGAAATTATAACTGGGGTTTCTTGTGAAGCTAGAGATACCTGTGCCATGCAAGAAATTATGGAGGTAATAATAGAATATTTCCCTAAGCACGCTTATGTTTAGGACTCTCTTCTTAGGGTCCTGTCCCATTCTCCTGGATGTAATCCCACAAGCTGTTATCAGGAGGAACAGGTCAGACTCGACTGTGGTGCAATTCTCACGATCACCACCAGAGGGCGGGGCTTCCTTCAGATGCGGTTCCTCGCTGTGTTCAGGAGCCGGTTTCACTTGCCTACTTTGTAGGCACAAGACAGAATATTGCTGCTGTGCAGTAAGGGGCTCTCCGTTTCTGAGTGAGGAGCTTCTGTAACATACAGATGGAGGCTATATTCGTTAGGCTGGCGTATTCCAGGGAACAAGGACCGTTTTCTTTTGCGAACATGCATTCTGTCACTCACTCAGTTCTTCTGATCATCTTAATATTCAGTAAGTAGCATTTTATTCCAAATGTTAATGATTTTTTCACTTTCCTACGATTGTGGGTAAGTTTTATTTTTCTTTTCTGGCTGAAAACTCGTCTCCTGTGCATTTCTACAATAACAAAGTGATTCTCTTGTAGGAGGGACCAATGGTGACTCAGTGAACCAGACAGAAGGCCCAGTGATTGTCTCAGAGGGGGCTCTCATGACCCTGAACTGCACTTACCAGACTGTTGGTTCAGTTCCCTATCTTTTCTGGTACGTCCAGCATCTCAACAAAGCTCCTCAACTCCTTCTGAAGGGCTTCACAGCAGACAAGACGGTAGAGCATGAAGGTTTTCAGGCCACTCTTGTTAAGAGGGACAGCTCCTTCCACCTGCAGAAAGGGGCAGTGCAAACATCGGACTCGGCTGTGTACTACTGTGCTCTGAGGGACACAGTGATAGAGCGCTGCAGGGGGAGCTGAGCGCAAACCCAGATGCAGATGGGGCTCTGGCTGTGGGCAGACACGGAGGGGGTGTTGTTTCTCTCTGCAGTGTGCTGTGCTAGAGGTCTTGTCAAAGCTCTTCCAGGTCTGCTCCTCAGAGCCAATTGGACCTAGGAATTCTTGGGTTGCCCTACAGAGCGGAATCTGGGGAAGGACAGGTCAAAAAGGAACTGAAGAGCTTTTCTCCGGAAATGCCTGTTTTTAGCCCATCCACATTCCCCCAGATGGCATAGAATCCCTTGAAGTGACATTAACTCTTCAATTACAGTTCAGAAATATACTGAAATGTTTTACAATGTGTTAATGAAAATCCAAGGCACATTGTTAATGGATGACTGTGCAACCTGGAAGCTAGTTTCTGTTTTTAAAATTCAGGCCAAGATTGTGTCTCCTGCTGAGTTTCACCTGCAGACACTCCATCTTCAGTGACTGGAGCTTTATTCTCTCTTTCCTTGACTTTTCCATCCCTGCTGGTTGCTCCAGAAATGCTGCTGCCTAAGTAAGTTCCAGAAGGAGAGCTTCCTGAAAAGATATTCTTTCTGTCAATGGTCCTGTGGATCAGAGCAGCCCTCTCTTGTAAATATTGCAGGTATTGTGTGTATTGTTTGTATTCAAACTGGGTAGAGGATATTCTCTTTACTAATAACCTCATCTCAGGGAAATGAATGCCAAAGAATGTTCAAATTACCATAAAATTGCACTCATTTCACATGCTAGCAAGACTATGCTCAAAATCCATCAAGCTACACTTCTAGCTCCTTCCACCTGCAGAAACAGGCAGTGCAAGCATCAGACTCGGCTGTGTACTACTGTGCTCTGAGGGACACAGTGATGGAGGGCTGCAGGGGGAGCTGAGCGCAAACCCAGATGCAGATGGGGCTCTGGCTGTGAGCAGCCCCGGAAGGGGGTGTTGTTTCTCTCTCAGAGGTACTATCAAAGCACTTCCAGCTCTGATACTCCAAGCCAGGACCTTGGAATTCTTGGATTGCCCTACAGAGGAATCTGGGGCAGGACAGTGTAAGGAGGAACCTAAGCGCTTTTCTCCAGAAATGCCTGTTTTCAGCCCATCCACATGCCCCCAGATGGCATAGAATCCCTTAAAGTGACATTAACACTTCAATGACAATTCAGATTATATATGCTGAAATATTTCACAATGTGTTAATGAAAATTCCAGGGCTCATTGTTGATGGATGATTGTATGATCTGGAAGCTAGTCTCTGTTTTTTAAAATTCAGGCCAAGATTATGTATCCTGCTGAGTTTCACCTGCAGACACTCCATCTTCAGTGACTGGAGCTTTATTCTCTCTTTCCTTGACTTTTCAGTCCCTTCTGGTTGCTCCAGAAATGCTGCTACCCAAGTAAGTTCCAAGAGGAAAGTTTCTGACAAGGTATTCCTTCTGTCAAGGGCCCTGTGGATCAGAGCAGCCCACTCTGTAAGTATTGCAGGTGTTGTGTGTATTGTTAGTATTCATAGTGGGTGCATGATATTCTCTTTGCTAATAACCTCATCTCAGGGAAATGAATGCCAAAGAATGTTCAAGTTACCGTACAATTGCACTCATTTCACATGCTAGCAAGATTATGCTCAAAATCCTTCAAGCTATGCTTCAGCAGCACATGAACCAAGAATTTCAGATGTAGAAGCTGGGTTTAGAAAAGTCAGAGGAACCAGAGCAGATCCAATATCTGCTGGATCACAGAAAAAGCAAGGGAATTAAAAAAAAAATCTACTTCTGCTTTATTAACTACACTAAAGCCTTTGACTGTGTGGATCACGACAAACTGTGGAAAATTCTTAAAGAGATGGGGATACCCAAGAAACCTGTATGCAGGACAAGAAGCAACAGTTAGTATTGCACATGGAACAATGGACTGGTTCAAAATAGGGAAAGGAGCACATCAAGGCTATATATTGTCACCCTGCTTATTTAACTTATATGTGGAGTACATCAGGTGAAATGCAGGGATGGATGACTCAAAAGCTGGAATCAAGATTACCAGGAGAAATATCAACAACCTCAAATATGCAGATGACACCACTCTAATAGCAGAAAGTGAAAACAAACTAAAGAACATCTTGATGCAGGTGAAAGAGGAGAGTGAAAAAGCTGGATTAAAACTCAACATTTTTTAAAAAACTAACATTATGGCATCTGGGCCCATCATTTTATGGCTTATAGATGGTGAAAACATGGAAACAGTGACAGATTTAATTTTCTTGGGCTTCAAAATCACTGCAAATGATGACTGCAGGCATGAAATGAAAAGATGCTTGCTCCTTGGGAGAGAAGCTATGACCAACCTAGACAGCATATTAAAAAGCAGAGACATTACTTTACCAGCAAAGGTCCACATAGTCAGGGCTATGGTTTTCCCAGTAATCATGAATGGAAGTGAGAGTTGGACCATAAAGAAGGCTGAGTGCCAAAGAATGATGCTTTCTAGCTGTGGTGTTGGAGAAGACTCTTGAGAGTCCCTTGGAGATTAAACCAGTCCATCCTAAAGGATATCAACCATGAATATTCATGGAAGGACTGATGCTGAAGCTGAAGTTCCAATACTTTGGCCACCTGATGTGAAGAACCGATTCACTGGAGAAGTTCCTGAAGCTGGGAAAGATTGAGGGCAAGAGGATAAGGAGGTGACAGAGGACAAGATGGTTGGATGGTATTACTGACTCAATGGACATGAGTTTAGCAAACTCTGGGAGATAGTTAAGGACAGGGAAGGACACACAATACCTGCAATATTTACAGAGTGAGCTGCTCTGATCCACAGGGCCCTTCAGAAGGAATATCTTGTCCGGAAGCTCTCCTCTGGGAACTTACTTAGGCAGCAGCATTTCTGGAGCAGAAGGGATGGAAAAGTCAAGGAAAGAGAGAATAAAGCTCCTGGTGTGCTGCAGTTTATGGGGGTGTAAAGAGTCAGACATGACCTAGGGTCTGAACAGCTAAAAAACAGGGAAAATTAATTCATCAATCAGTCATACTTCAGACACATGGAAAGAGTGTTTATGCACTCTTACAATAAGCTATCTTGACAGCAGAGTGAGCTTTTTCACCTGCTCAAGAAACTAGGAGAAAGTATCACCCACTCCCAAAGCAGGAACATCTCCACACTCCTCTGCTCATGAGCAGGAATGTGGAGCCACTTTGGTCCCTACTCTGCATCTCTGATACAATCATGCCCATTGCACAGAGTCCCCTCTGCATCTCTGCAGGCTGAACTCCTGTCTGCAAATTCGGGGACCAGACTTTCTGGAAGGACAGTGGTGGGCACAGCAGGTGGGAAGAGATGGATGTTTTACTGCTGGGCAGTCTGTGAGATGTGGCGAGGATCATGAATCATTGTCATTTCATAATTTATAGGTGTGTATGAGTTGCTAAGTGGCGTCTGACTCATTGCGACCCCGTGGACTGTGGCCCACCAGACTCCTCTGTCCATGGAATTTTCCAGGCAAGAATACTGGACTGGGTTGCTATTCCCTTCTCCAGGGGATCTTTCTCACCCAAGGATTGAACCCTCATCTCCTCAATTGGCAGGCAGATTCTGTATCACTTAGCACCTGGGAAGCCCAGTTTATTGGCACAACTACTTAAATGCAGAGTTTAATAGTTATAGTAGTTTTATGGTCTTGGCAGATGCACTCACCATCGTCACTTAGGGTGGGTCTGGACACCCACTTGAAGGTGAGCGCTGCCTTCCTCCCTGACATCCTAGAGTCCTGCTCACTGGGTGCTGGCCACCCTGGGGGTTCAACATCTTAATAAACAGGCCTAGAAATGGAGAGGGAGATGAAAGAACAAAAATAAATCTTAACGGTGGGAAAATAAAAGTATCATAGATGGTTTTATTCCCCTGGTGGTAACTGCATCAGTTTTCTGCTTTCGGTCTCAGCCCTCATTTCATGTACTGGGGTCCACGTAGTGGGATCCACAAGTTTTAGGTATTTCAGGATCTCCATTCTCCTATTCTGTCTCAATCCCACAGTGAGACAGCTGCACTATTTTTGGTAAATCCCTCATGCACCGGTGCCTAGAAACTGCCTCCATGAAGTAAGCTGGGCATTAGCGCTCATCTCACCCGTTTTCCTTGTCTCTGTGCTACCTGATGTTCAAGGTCCAAAAATAGTTTTCTAGTTGGAAGATCAACTCTACCATTATCAGTGAAAAAGAAGTCATGTATTTTACTTTTATCGTGTTTTACAAATATGTCATTCCATGATAAATCAGGATAATAACCTTATCATTTAAATACACGTTATTTGACACCTGCCTTAGATAACATTTTCTCCACGGCATGTTGACAGAGTCAACATGAATATAACTACTTCAGAGAAATGACTTGGGGAGAGAAGGAAGCACTTTCCATACAGAGGGATCCTTCTCTGACCCACGGGAATCGGAGACTTACGCGAGGAAGAAACCTCTGACTATTCCATCTAGAAACTAACTGGGGTTTCTTGCGAAGCTAGAGATACCTGTACCATGAAAAAATTATGGAAGTAATAATAGAATATTTCCCCAAGCACGCTTATGTTTAGGACTCTCTTCTTAGGGTCCTGTCCCATTCTCCTGGATGTAATCCCACAAGCTGTTATCAGGAGGAACAGGTCAGACTCGACTGTGGTGCAATTCTCACGATCACCACCAGAGGGCGGGGCTTCCTTCAGATGCGGTTCCTCACTGTGTTCAGGAGCTGGTTTCACTTGCCTACTTGCAGCCACAAGACAGATGACTGGTGCTGAGATGACTGCTGCTGTGCAGAAAGGGGCTCTCCGTTTCTGAGTGAGGAGCTTCTGTAACATCCAAATGGAGACTAGATTCGTTAGACTGGTGTATTCCAGGGAACAAGGACCGTTTTCTTTTGCGAACATGCATTCTGTCACTCACTCAGTTCTTCTGATCATCTTGGTATTCAGTAAGTAATATTTTATCCTAAATCTTAATGATTTTTCACTTTCTATAACTATAGTGAAGTAGTGAAGTAGTAACAGTGAAAGTCACTCAGTCGTGTCCGACTCTTGTGACCCCATGGACTGTAGCCCACCAGGCTCCTCTGTCCATGGGATTCTCCAGGCAAGAGTACTAGAGTGGGTTGCCATTTCCTTCTCCAGTCTATAATTATAGGTAAGTTTTACTTTTCTTCTCTGGCTGAAAACTCCTCTCCTGTACATTTCTACAATAACAAAGTGATTTTCTTGTAGGAGGGACCAATGGTGACTCAGTGAACCAGACAGAAGGCCCAGTGACTGTCTCAGAGGGGGCTCTCATGACCCTGAACTGTACTTACCAGACTGCTGGTTCGGCTCCCTATCTTTTCTGGTATGTCCAGCATCTCAACAAAGCTCCTCAACTCCTCCTGAAGGGCTTAACAGCAGACAAGAAAGTAGAGCATGAAGATTTTCAGGCCACACTTGTTAAGGGGGACAGCTCCTTCCACCTGCAGAAACGGGCGGTGCAAACATCAGATTCGGCTGTGTACTACTGTGCTCTGAGTGACACAGTGATGGAGGGCTGCAGGGGGAGCTGAGCGCAAACCCAGATGCAGATGGGGCTCTGGCTGTGGGCAGACCGGAGGGGGTGTTGCTTCTCTCTCCAGTGTGCAATGCTAGATGTCTTGTCAAAGCTTTTCCAGGTCTGCTCCTCAGAGCCAGTTGGACCTAGGAATTCTTGGGTTGCTCTACAGAGAGGAATCTGGGGCAGGACAGTTCAAAAAGGAACCTAAGAGCTTTTCTCCAGAAATGCCTGTTTTCAGCCCATCCACATGCCCCCAGATGGCAAAGAATCCCTTGAAGTGACATTAGCTCTTCAATGACTATTCAGAAATATGATGAAATATTTCACAATGTGTTCATGAAAATCCCAAGGCACATTGTTAATGGATGACTGTGCAACCTGGAAGCTAGTCTCTGGTTTTTAAAATTCAGGCCAAGATTGTGTATCCTGCTGAGTTTCACCTGCAGACACTCCATCTTCAGTGACTGGAGCTTTATTCTCTCTTTCCTTGACTTTTCCATCCTTGCTGGTTGCTCCAGAAATGCTGCTGTCTAAGTAAATTCCAGGAGGAGAGCTTCCTGAAAAGATATTCCTTCTGTCAATCGTCCTGTGGATCAGAGCAGCCCTCTCTGCAAATATTGCAGGTGTTGTGTGTATTGTTTGTATGCAAACTGGGTACAGGGTATTCTCTTTGCTAATAACCTCATCTCAGGGAAATGAATGCCAAAGAATGTTCAGATTACCATACAGTTGCACTCATTTCACATGTTAGCAAGATTATGCTCAAAATCCTTCAAGCTATGCTTCAGAAGTACATGAACCAAGAATTTCAGATGTAGAAACTGAGTTTAGAAAAGGCAGAGGAACCAGAGCAGATCCAATGTCTGCTGGATCACAGAAAAAGCAAGGGAATTTTAAAAACAAATCTACTTCTGCTTCATTAACTACGCTAAAGCCTTTGACTGTGTGGATCACAACAAACTGTGGAAAATTCTTAAAGAGATGCGGATACCCAAGAAACCTGTATGCAGGACAAGAAGCAACATTTAGTACTGCACATGGAAAAATGGACTGGTTCAAAATTGGGAAAGGAGTACATCAAGGCTATATATTGTTACCCTGCTTATTTAACTTATATGTGGAGTACATCAGGTGAAATGCAGGGCTGGATGACTCAAAATCTGGAATCAAGATTGCCAGGAGAAATATCAACAACCTCAGATATGCAGATGACACCACTCTAATGGAGAAAGTGAAAAGAAACAAAAGAACATCTTGATGCAGATGAAAGAGGAGAGTGAAAAATGTGGATTAAAACTCAACATTAAAAAACCTAAGATTACGGCATCCGGTCCGATCATTTTATGGCAAATAGATGGGGAAAATGTGGAAACAGTGACAGATTTAATTTTCTTGGGCTTCAAAATCACTGCAAATGGTGACTGCAGCCATGAAATTAAAAGATACTTGTTCCTTGGAAGAAAAGCTTTTTGAGGGCAAGAGGATAAAGAGGTGACAGAGGATAAGATGGTTGGATGGCATCACTGACTCAATGGACATGAGTTTGAACAAATTCTGGAAGATAGTTAAGGACAGGGAAGCCTGACGTGCTGCAGTTCCTGGGGTCGTAAAGAGTCAGACATGACCTAGGGACTGAACACAGCAAAAGCAGGGGAAATCGATTCATCAGTCAGTCATATTTCAGACACATGGAAGAAGCATTTATGTACTCTTAATAGGCTCTCTTGACAGTAGAGTGAGTGGGCTTTTCACCTGCTCAGGAGACTAGGAGAAATTACCACCCACTCAGTGAGCAGGAGCATCTCCACACTCCTCTGCTCTTGAGCGGAATGCGGAGCCACCCTGGTCCCTGCTCTGTGTCCCTGCTACAATCATGCCCATTGCACAGAGAGTCCCTCATCTTCTCAGGCTGAACTCCTGTCTGCAACTTCCAGGAGCAGACTTTCTGGAAGGACAGTGGTGGGTACTGCAGGTGGGAAGAGATGGATGTTTTACTGCGGGGCAGTCTGTGAGGTGTGGCCAGGATACTGAATCCTTGTCACTTCATAATTTATAGGCATGTGTGTATTGTGTCTGGTGCTCAGTTACTAAGTGGCATCCGACTCTTTGCCATCCTGTGGACTGTAGCCTGCCAGGCTCCCCTGTCCGTGGAATTTTCCAGGCAAGAATACTGGAGTGGGTGCTATTTTCTCCTCCAGGGGATCTTCCTGACCCAGGAATGGAACTCTCATCTCCTCAAGTGGCAGGCAAATTCTTTACTGCTGAGCTACTGGGGGCTCCCAATTTATAGACACAACTACTTAAATGCAGAGTTTAATAGTTACAGTAGTTGTATGGTCTTGGCAGATGTAGTCATCATTGTCACTTAGGGTGGGTCTGGACACCCACCTGAAAGTGAGCACTGCCTTCCTCCCTAACATCCCAGAGTCCTGCTCACTGGGGGCTGGCCACCTGTGTCCTGGGGGTTCAACATCTTAATCAAGAGGCCATAGAAATGGAGAGGGAGATGAAAGAACAAAAATAAATCTTAACGGTGGGGAAAAAGTATTCTAGCAGGTTTAATTTCCCTGGTGGTAACTGCATCAGCTCTCTACTTCCAGTCTGATCTCTCATTCCATGTACTGGGGTCCAGGCTTGTGGGAGTACAGACAGGGCATAGGATTTTTTTTTTTCTTTTTGGTTACCTGCTTCTCAATCAACTGAAAGCAATTTGAGATAGGAATTGTATCTGATTTTGGTTTCCACATTGCAGACAACCCTGTAAATTTCCAGAATGAATGCTGGAAGCTAGGGATTCCTGAAAATGCACAAGAGTTCAAGAGAATCTAGATGATCTGCTGAGCCAGAGTCCTGCCAGCATGATAACTTCAACTCAAGATTCTCATTTTAGGTGGAGAGTTGGTTCAGTGAATAGGACTCTGCACTCACATTGCTGGAGGCCCAGGTTCAATCCCTGGTCAGGGAACTGGATCCCACAAGCCTAAACTAAGACCTGGAGCAGACAAAAAACAAACAAAAAGAACAACTCAGCAAACAGTTGTGCATTAAAAATGATCCCAGGTTTGGTAAGAACTAACAAAATTCATTTTAGCTGATGAGAAAATCTCTGTAGAGATTTGAAGAAGATTGCTCTTGAGTTCCGGAGAAGGCACTGGCTCCCCACTTCAGTCCTCTTGCCTGGAATATCCCATGGATGGAGGAGCCTGTTGGGCTGCAGTCCATGGGGTCGCTCAGAGTCGGACACGACTTAGAAACTTCACTTTCATGCGTTGGAGAAGGAAATGGTAACCCACTCCAGTGTTCTTGCCTGGAGAATCCCAGGGATGGGGGAGCCTGGTGGGTTGCCGTCTATGGGGCCACATAGAGTCGGACACGACTGAAGCGACTTAGCAGCAGTAGCAGCAGCAGCAGTTCTTGAGTTCAACTGACTTAGGCACAGCCATTGTTACTGGATTGACAGCACTGCCCTGAGAGCCCGTGTAAGGCGACCTCACAGCTGTCTGCAGCCACAGCGTTTCCATGCCTTAACATGGTTTATCTCAGCAAAGAACAATGTTTTGACTCTTACCATAATATAGTCAGACTTTGCATAATATACACCCTATCCAAGAGGAAATAACAAGCTATGAAATTACCCCATTAAATCTTCTGCTGGGTTCACTTCACTAGCATAAATAATTGCACAGGGAACTAGAAAAACAGGCTGACAGACACTGAGCAAACAGTTCTTTCCATTGAGATTCCTGAATCCCAAATAAATAAACAGAAGACAGATAAATACCACTCACATGCCTCTGGAATGAAGAGTGCCTGGCTAATATATTAAGCATTTAAATTGACATTCTAAAAAAAAAATACTTAGTTGAATTAAAGCAAGAATATGACAAGTGGTAAAAAGATGTTTCAAGAACCAGATTTCCTAAGTAAGGTCACCCGTCCCTCATGAGGCTGAAGGTGTAGGATGAGGCTGTCATCCAAGTAGGGTCCAGGCCCCAAAGCAGGCCCCTTCAGGGAGGTTCACCAAGCTCATTGGGTCTTCTCTTAAAAAAAAATACTTAGTTGAATTAAAACTCCTTCTTTAAATGTGACAAGAGTTAAAAAGATGTTTCAAGAACCAGGTTTCCTAAGTAAGGTCACCCATGCCTCATGAGGCTGAAGGTGTAGGTGGCTGTCATCCAAGTAGGGTCCAGGCCCCAAAGCAGGCCCCTTCAGGGAGGGTTACCAAGCTCATTGGGTCTTCTCTCTTTACTTACAGATCAGTACTCAGTCCAAGATTCACAGTGACTCCTCCCCCCACTTCTTTGAACTCATCTCTCTCCATCTCTGTCTTTTGCCCATGTCCCTCCTCTCTGGTACACTGGTCCATCAATTTCTAGGTTCTTCAGGGTCCCCAAAATATTATTCCATCTCACAGTGAGACAGTTGGGCCATTTTTGTTAAATCCCTCATGCACTGGTGCCTAGAAGCTGCCTCTGTGAAGAAAGCTAGGTGATGTCCTGGCTCATCTCATCTGTTTTCGTTATCTCTGTGCTACCTGATGTCCAAGATCCACAACTTGTCTCATATATTTTGTCCAGTTTTCTAGTTGGAAGGTCAACTCTACCTTTATCAGTAAAAAGAAGTAACAGCAATTTATTTTTTAATTTTACAAATGTTACATTTTATGATGGATAGGGGTAATAACCTGCTCATTCAACCACACATTAGAAGAGATCTGCCTTAAATGATCAGGTGGCTCAGATGTGTAAAAAATCCACCTGCAATGTGGGAGATGCATGAGACTCTGGCTCAATCACTGTTGGGAAGATCCCCTGGAGGAGAGCATGGCAAGTGACTCTAGTATTCGTGCCTGGAAAATCCCACGGACAGAGGAGCCTGGCAGGCTGTAGTCTCTAGGGCCACAAAGAGTCAGACATGACTGAGCAACTGAGCCCAGCACAGGGCACAGGGATCATTCATTCACCTGATCGTTCAGCCACACATTGTTTGAGACCTGACGATAATGTTTCCAACATTATGTAACATTCCAACATTGCAGCAGCATGTTGGCTGTGCCTTGGGGATGAATAGAGCTAATTCAGGTGAAGGTCTTGGGGAGAGGAGGGAGCACTTTCCATGCAGAGGGGTCCTTCTCTGACCCATGGGAATCATGGAGACACATGTAAACAAGAAACCCTCTGACTACTCCTCCTAAAAATTGTTCACTGGCATTATGTGCAAAGCTAGTGCTATCATACCACACGGAAAAAAAATGGATGTAATAATGGAACGTTTCCTAAAGCAAGTTTGTGTTTAGGGCTCTCCTCTTAGAGTCCTGTCCCATTCTCCTGTGTGTACCCCACAAACTCTCATCAGGAGGACTAGGTCAGGAGTAGGTCAGGATGAGGAGAGTGAAAAAGCTGGCTTTAAACTAAGCATTCAAAAACTAAGATCCTGGCATCCAGTCCCATCACTTCAAGGCAAATAGATGGGGAAATAATGGAAACAGTGACAGACTTTATTTTCTAGCGCTCGAAAATCACTGCCAATGGTGACTGCAGACATGAAATTAAAAGACACTTCCTCCTTGGAAGAAAAGCTATGACTAACCTAGACAGCATATTAAAAAGCAGAGATATTACTTTGCTGACAAAGGCCCATATAATCAAACCTATGGTTTTTCCTGTAGTCACGTATGGATCTGAGAGTTGGACCAAAAAAGAAAGCTGAGCACCAAAGAATTGATGCTTTTGAACTATGGTGTTCAAAAGAGAACCCCTTGGCTCTTGAGAGCCCCTTGAACTGCAAGGAGATCAAACCAGTCAGTCCTAAAAGAAATCAGTTCTGAATATTCACTGGAAGGACTGATGTTGAAGTTGAAGCTCCAATACTTTGGCCACCTGATGCAAAGAGCCGAGTCATTAGAAAAGACCCTTAAGCTGGGAAAGATTGAAGGCAGGAGGAGAAAGGGACGACAGAAGATGAGATGGTTGGATGGCGTCACTGACTCAATGGACATGGGTTTGAGGGTTTGAGCAATCTCCGGGAGCTGGTGTTGGGCAGGGAAACATGGCCTGCTGCTGTCCATGGGGTCGCAAAACTGAGCTACCGAACTGAACTAAGGTCAGAAATGACAGTGGTGTAATCTTTAAGATCACCACCAGAGGGCGGGGCTTCCTTCAAATGCGATTCCTTTTTGTATTCAGGAGCTGGTTTGACTCGCCTACTCTGTAGCTGCCCAGACGGTTGACTGCTGCTGTGCAGAAAGGGGTCCCCATTTTCTGAGTGAGGAGCTTCTGTAACATCCAGCTGAGACTAACTTTGTTAGATTTGGTGTTTCTAGGGAACAAGGACTGTCGCCAGAATGTTTTCTGCCACTCACTCAGTTCTGTTCATCTTCTTAATACTTGGTAAGTAGCATTTTATCCTAAAGTGATTTCTCATTTTCCTATGATACCAGGTAAGTTTTATTTTTCTTCTCTGGCTGAAAACTCTCCTCCTGTACATTTCTACTAAAACAAAGTGATTCTTTTGTAGGAGGGACCAGTGGTGACTCAGTGAACCAGACAGAAGGCCCAGTGACTGTCTTAGAGGGGGCTCTCATGACCCTGAACTGCACTTACCAGGCCACATATTCAAATATCTATCTTTTCTGGTACATCCAGCATCTCAACAAAGCTCCTCAACTCCTCCTGAAGGGCTTCACAGCAGACAAGACGGTAGAGCATGAAGGTTTTCAGGCCACTCTTGTTAAGAGGGACAGCTCCTTCCACCTGCAGAAACAGGCAGTGCAAGCATCAGACTCGGCTGTGTACTACTGTGCTCTGAGTGACACAGTGATAGAGCGCTGCAGGGGGAGCTGAGCGCAAACCCAAGGGGAGCAGGAGGCTGAAGTCAGGACGACGTATATTCTCTCCTTGATCAGAGTTTAGTGTACATTTAGAGTTTTTCAGGGAAACCAATCAAGCTCAGGTCTAATCCTAAAAACTCAGGGGGTTGGGAATTGCTCTACAGGATTATAGGGTGGATGTCAGTCTTAAAGAAGACCCAAGCTCCAATCCCCAGAAGCACCCCTGTTCAGCCAGAAAGATTCCTCTCTGCTCTAGGCTGACTTTCCAAAAAAATCTATTTTTCTCATAATGTAAGATAGATATTAGATGTCACAAAATTAGTAGTTCACTTAGAGAAAAGAAATAGATGATTAAGAGTGCATCACCTGAATCATAGTCATAAACCAACACAGAGGTATCAGGCAAATCACATACCAGTCTGCGTGTGGCTGAGACGTAACACTATTGAGGTGCTGGTTGCAGTGAAAGCCTTTGAACTGGAGCTGCTGCAGCCTTGGGATGAAAAAGCGTTTGTGACTTTTGAGTGGCCATGTTTCTTTTATTACTTATTTGTTTGTTTTATTTTTGGTCCGGCTGGGTCTTTGTTACTGACCTTGGGCTCTCTCCAGTTGCAGCGGGTGGAGGTTGCTCATTGCGGTGCACGGGCTTCTCACCGCGGCGGCTCCTCTTGGTGCGGAGCGCGGGCTCCCGCTGCACGGGCTTCAGGAGCGGCGGCGCACGGGTCAGCAGCGGCGGCACGCAGCCGCTAGGGCTGCATTTCTGATGTAAGGAAATAAGGATGCTTGGTCTGGTGAGCTTGTACTCATTTTGGCTATAGGGTGGACATTTAAAAGCAAGATTATTTTAGCACACATTATTGATTCCTGTTAGACACATACAGCTGGACAAATTTTGTGCACCAGGAAGCTTGCTGTGATTGCATTACACAGACAAGGAACTTTATCCAGTGTAAACTTCCACAGAAACCCATGCCTTGGAGTGTAGGAAGAAAAGTTATGACGTTTGAGAGTAAACAGTTTTATCTTCCTGTATGAAAGAAAAAGTTGCGAGCTTATTTCACTGCAGATTTGGGCTGCAGATCCCTCCCCCCAAAAAGAGCTATACAAAAATGGATGCCTATTTGTTCTCAGAGGTCACTATAATCATAATAAATTGTTTTTGTCACAGAATATATGTCTATCCTAGATGCATTGACTGAATATGCATGCAGCCCTGATGTAATTGTTGTTAATTTAATTACAGTATGGCAACCCTCTCCAATATTCTTGCCTGGAGAATCCCATGGACAGAGGAGCCTGGTGGGCTACAGTCCATGGAGTCACAAAGAGTCAGATATGACCAAGTGATTTTCCAGTCTAAATAGGCAGCTTACAATCTCCAACCACATCAACAAGCCATGACATGATGCAGGGAAACTGATATCAGCCAGTTTCATCTCCTGTTCTGATGGCAGAAGCGTCTCACAGTTCAGTCACCGTGCGTGTGCCCTCAGGCATGGCTCAGGCATCTACTCAGAGGAAGAACTTCCCACATGGGGCTCCCTGGCCTGCTCAGAGCTGTCATAGCCTCTGTCTGCCTTGCTAAGGCTGATAAGGATGACCGCCAGCAGACTCAGCTCTGCTCAGCTCCCATGTGTAGAGGTAGGGCAGGTGATTATTGTCTGTTGGGGTTTAGGAGAGTTGGTTAACTGGCAGAGGGATTAGAACTCTTAATCCTCTGTTTGTTCCTTGAAGTCCTCCTGCTCAGAGCTGTCATAGCCTCTGTCTGCCTTGGTAAGGCTGGTAAGGATGACCGCCAGCAGACTCAGCTCTGCTCAGCTCCCGTGTGTAGAGTTAGGGCAGGTGATTACTGTCTGTTGGGGTTTAGAAGAGTTGGTTAACTGGCAGAGGGATTAGAACTCTTAATCCTCTGTTTGTTCCTTGAAGTCCTCTGAGTTCCACCAGGAGAATCAGCCTCTTCCTCTCTGTCTCTCTCTCTCTCCATATGTGTGTATATATATATATATATATTTTTTTTTTTTCTTCTTCTTCTCTCTAGGATCCATCATGGCCCAGAAAGTAACTCAAAACCAGTCAGAAATTCCTGTGCTGGAGAAGAAGGATGTAAAATTGAACTGTGCATATGAAGCTGATAGTTATTCTTATTATTTATTCTGGTATAAGCAACCACCAAGTGGGGAAATGATTTTCCTTATTCATCAGGAGTCTTACAATGAGCTGAATACAACAAAAGGCCAGTATTTTTTGAACTTCCAGAAAGCAACGAGTTCCATCAGCCTCACCATCACAGACTTACAGCTCGAGGACTCAGCGGTGTATTTCTGTGCTCTGAGAGACCACAGTGATGCCGGTGCCTGAGGGAGCCCCACAGAAACCTCAGATGTCAACATGTGGAGTCCCCCAGCTATGAACACCTTCGTGAGATTCTCAGTAAGGACAGGAACAGGTAGGGGGGTTAGAAGTGAAAACCTCACTGTAAGGAAAATGCTATCTCTTTGGCTCAGAGAGCATATCTCAAACTGTCATTCATCAAAAATATCTTTAATTCTTTATCTTGCAGAAGATCGTTTGCCAAATTAAAAAAAAACTTAAATGGTGATTTTATTGAAGCATGAAATTTGGCTCTAAAAAATTCAATAGTATTTGATTAAATCTGCCTCTGAGTTGTTAGAGTTGTAGGTTCACTGCACAAATATTCATGCATTGTTAAGTCTGGCCATCATTGTGGATCTGAAATATCTCTGAAAGGACATTTCTTGGACCCTCCTTGTGCCTTGCCTCACCTGTGCCGTGAATGACTTGGAATGATGTGCATAGAGTAACTGTTACACAAATCTTCACCCCAAGGGGAAATGAAACCCTGCAGTTTGCTCAGAACTAACCTCATCACCTGGTCACATTCTCTATATGTGATTACAGAGTTATGTATGTTTAAGGTAGAAAATAGAATATGCAAAGAAGGAATGCTAAAAACAAAATAACTCACCAATTTTACTAGTCACAAAAAACTCTATTAGAGATTCATACCTTATAGGATATTTATATTCTGAGTTTTTACCTGCCAGTATATTGTGAAATAATTATTTCACAACAATATTTACAGGCCAACATCACACATTCTAGTGGTGATATTCCAATGTGTGATTTTATCATAGTTTTGGGCTAATTCCATTTTACTAGATTTTTAGATTGTTTTACTGACTGTAGTAAACAATACTGGAATAAACACAAAGGTATTTGGTGATTTTCTTGATGAGTCCTAGGAGTTTAATGGGAGTTTGCCATTAAATCTTTCTGATGTGGCTCCCTGCTCATTTCTGTGACCCTGGAGTATAGAGCATTTTCACTCTGCAATTACTAAACAGTCATATTTTCCTTGTTTCACAAAATTCTTTTATAGGAAGGCTTTGCTTTATACTTTAGTCCCAGTTAACTCCAGATGCCTTCAATTTTGGATGATTCCACACCACGTATGTGCAGAGTAGCTGTCATATAACATCTAAAAGAGTTAAGTCTCTCCACTATTCTTGGTGACTTTAGGTGGGAATTAACCTAGTAGATTTGCTTTCATCTGGAATTCCAAAAGGGAAGGTACTACTCTTCCTTGTGTAAGGATTTTCTATCCCTATTGTACAAATAACAGTGATCCCAGTAAAGAGCAACTTTCCAGAAAAGAAAGTATAAGTGTGTATGTGCATGGCACGCAAGTGTGTGAAGGAGAGAGAGAGATGAGAGAGAGGAACAACAGACTTACATAGCCAAGTCATCAAGTAATTAGTTAAAAGAGTTAAATTTGTAAAAAGTATTGGAAAAAAGGAAGTAAAGTCACCTAGAGACCAACTTTTAATGAAGAAAATAGATGTAAGCAGTTTCAAGGAATAAATCAAACATGTGAAAGAAGAAAAATGTATCCTAGAATTGACTCTTTGCAATCCCATTTGACCCTGGAGTATAGAGCATTTTCACTCTGCAATTACTAAATAGTCATATTTTCCTTGTTTCACAAAATTCTTTCATATGAAGGCATTGCTTTATAGTTTACTCCCAATTAACTCCAGATGGCTTCAATTTTGGATGATTCCGCACCACGTATGTGCAGAGTAGCTGTCATATAACATCTAAAAGAGTTAAGCCTCTGCACTATTCTTGGTGACATTAGGTGGGAATTAACCTAGTGGGTTTGCTTTCATCTGGAATTCCAAAAAGGAAGATACTACTCTTCCTTGTGTAAGGATTTTCTATCCCTATTGTACAAATAACAGTGATTCCAGTAAAGAGCAACTTTCCAGAAAAGAAAGTATAAGTGTGTGTGTGCATGACACGCAAGTGTGTGAAGGAGAGAGAGAGATGAGAGAGACAATAGACTTACATAGCCAAGTCAAGTAATTAGTTAAAAGAGTTGAATTTTGTAAAATGTATTGGAAAGAAGGAAGTCAAGTCACCTAGAGACCAACTTTTAATGAAGAAAATAGATGTAAACAGTTTCAAGGAATAAATCAAACATGTGAAAGAAGAAAAATGTGTCCTAGAATTGACTCTTTGCAATCCCATGGACTGTAGCCCACCAGGCTCCCCTGTCCATGGGATTTCCCAGGCAAGAATGCTGGAGTGGGTTGCCATTTCCTTCTCCAGGGCATCTTCCTGACCCAGAGATTGAACTCGCATCTCCTGCATTGGCAGTCAGATTCTTCACCACAGTAAAGTGAGAGAAGTTGTCATTGCAACCTAATGTGAGCCTCAAAATCCTCCAGACTCCAGGGGAATATTTCAACTCTCTGAGTCAATCCTTTGAATCTCCTCTAACTTGAGGAAGGTTGAAAAAAACACACACACCACCACAGCTTCACTTTTTTCTCTTTTGTTTTTAATATTTTTTAAATTAATTTGGCTGTGCCAGCACATGGGATCTAATTCTCTGTCTGGGGTCAAACCCAGGTCCGTAGCATTGGGAGTTTGGCGTCTTAGCCACTGCACCACCGGTGAAGTTCCTATTTATTCTAACTCTTTAGTGAATTTTCAGTTTTCTCATGTATCCTTATTGTGCAGAGTAGGCTAAGGAAAGTGAAAAAGTGGGCTTTATATATGTTTTGCAAGTGTCTTCAAGCATGCATTGTGGCCTCTCTCCATGAGTTCTCATGTACTACAGACTGTCTTCAAAGTCCAAGACAAAAGGGATGTTGCAATTAATATGCTTTTATGTATCAACATCTATATCTATAATTGTGTATTGTATTTTTCAGTAGCTCAGTCATGTCCCACTCTTTGTGACCCAGTGGACTGCAGAACACCAGGCTTCCCTGTCCTTCATATCTCCCAGAGCTTGCTCAAACTCATGTCCCTTGAGTCAGTGATGCCATCCAACTATCATCCTCTGTCATCCCCTTCTCCTCTTTCAATCTTTCCCAGCATCAGGGTCTTTTCCAATGAGTCAGTTCTTCTCATCAGGTGGCCAAAGGATTGGAGCTTCAGCTTCAGCATCAATCCTTCCAATGAATATTCAGGACTGATTTCCTTCAGGATTGATTGGTTTGATCTCCTTGCAGTCCAAAGGACTCTCAAGAGTCTTCTCCAACACCACAGTTCAAAAGCATCAATCCTTCGACACGCAGCCTTCTTTATGGTCCAACTCTCACATCCACACATGACTACTGGAAAAATCATAGCTTTGACTATGTGGACCTTTGTTGGCAAAGTAATGTCTCTGTTATGACTGTAACCGTAAACTCCATAGGGTCAGGAAATGTGAATGATTTGTACATTACGCATTACATAACACATAGTGGTTGCATATTAAATATTGGTTGACTGAAGAAGAAGAATTAATTCATAAAATCAACAGATATAGGGCTTCTACTCTTTGGATGCTGTTAGGTAATTGTGGATCTATTTTTTCTTGTAGTTCATTTCTCATCACCATAAGAATACTTCTGTTTATATGTGTCATAAGTTCCCTTTCTGTTTGAAAAGATTTTCTTCATATGGTACTGTTTTCAGGCTTACAATTAAATTAAATGGTCTCCCTCCTGTTGGCACAGACAGAGCCATCTTAATCCCCTGAGTGAGTCTATAGTGAGGTGTATCAACTTGTTCTCTTGTAAACTTGAAAGTCCCTCTTATCAGTGATTCTTCTAGGTTTCAGCCAATGTTAACGTACCCCTGTATTATCTCTTTCTTGCTTTCATTTCTAGACTTTTTAATCTTTGAATTTTAGCCTCAAATATTTACTTGCTGTGGCTGAAGATATGGACCCTATTAAGCTAAGGATGGTAGTGGGCAAGGAGGGAGCAGTTGTCCAGACTGAAAGAAAGTCATAGTTACCTTAGTTCTCTTTGAGTCCCAATACTTTAACTTTCCATCCTAATTTCTAGGGCTCAAAGGAAATGACCTTTGTATAACACGTAGTCTCCATGCACTAGATTTTGCCCATGAGTACAACTGATGGTGTCAAACTATCTGTTTCTATTTATCTTTACCATTGCCATGACTTGTGCTGCTTCTTTGTATATTTTTGCTTTCAAATCTAAAGACCTAGTTTAGGGATAAATACTCCTGTCATTGTGAGTCCTAGCCTAAGACAAGAAAAGTGCCTTGTCTGTTTTTCTAATTTCTGTTTTCAAGGGCTGACTTATTTTGATCAAGAACAGTTTTAAGCTCCTGGATTCACAAACCTTAAGAAAATTTTTAGAAAGTGTTATCCTCAATTGTAAAAAATTGGTATTTAAAAGACTCTGCCCCTGGGACAGTAGAAAGAAGAATAACTACATCCTTGGAGAAATGAGCTGTTTGACCTTGGAATGCTGACTGTGAAGAAAGATCAATGGAAGCCTGTAATTTTACCAAAAAGTAATAACAGAAAGTGGGAAGTTTCATTCTTGGGACAATTTGTAAAGAATATTCTCCTCTTCAAGAAACACATGCTCAATTATAGGAAAGGAGTTACAGACAAGGAAGGAGATTCTGACATTTAGGTCAGTTTGATGACTTAAAGATTCATAGGCACTTTTCTCAGAGCACTTTAAGGTTTAAATAAATGTGAATGTTAGAAGAGATTACAGTTATCTTCAATCATAAGACAGATGTAACCATTTTCTGAATCTATACTAGAAAGCATCGCCTTGTAATACATGATAGAGGATTTCAGAGGCGATGAATTGAGAAGGGCTTGGCTTTTTACTACAATTTTAACTTTACTCTTTAGGTAGAGAAATCACACTAAGTATAAAAAGGGAAAGTCACAGGCTCAAAGAACAAATTTTTTTTCACTCTTCTATGAGAAGTCTTCAATCCACTCTTTGGTTATGTTGCTTTGAACTAGTTACTTGATAACAGCAAATGGGTAAAGCCTGAAACAGATGATGACACAGCCCTTTAAAAATATTTTAAAAATATATACGTTATAAAAGTTAGCTCAAAATGGATCATGGACTTAAATTAAAAATATAAAACTATGCAACTCTAAAAAGAAATTAGAGGAAAACTTCAGGCTTGAAGCTAAGTAAATCTTAGATTTGACACTGAAAGCATGATACACTCACACACACATGCACACACCAAACTGAATCAAAATTAAAAAGTTTTCCTCTGTAAAAGACCCTGTTAAAAATATGAAATGATAAGTTACAGCACTGGAGGTGAAAGTGAAAGTTGCTCAGTCGTGTCCGACTCTTTGCGACCTCTTGGACTATACCGTCCATGGAATTCTCCAGGCCAGAATACTGGAAGGGTAGCCTTTCCCTTCTCCAGTGGATCTTCCCAACCCAGGGATCGAACCTAGGTCTCCTGCATTGCATGTGGATTCTTTACCAACTGAGCTATGAGGGAAGAAAATGGGCAACGGATTCGAACAGGTGTTTCACCAAAGAGGGGATATACAGATTGCAAATTAGCACCTGAAAAGATGTTCAACAATATTAGCCATCAGAGAAGTGCAAATTAAAGCCACAATGAAATATCACTACACAAATCTCAGTGGGGCTAAAATAAAAAATAGTGATAACACTAAATTCTGGCAAACATGTGGGAAAAACTCAATTACTCACAAATTGCTGATGAAGGTCTAAAATGATACGGGCATTCTGGAAAATAGCTTCGCAGTTTCTCATAAAACTAAATATGCAGTCACACATTTGAACACTTATTCTAAATAAATAAAAGATTTTATTCACATAAAAACTTGTACCTGAATATTCATAATAGCTTTATTCACAGCAGCCGAAATATGGAAACCACTGTGTCCCTCAGTGGGTTACTGGTTAAGCAAACTGTGAATCATCTACACCATGGAATACTCTTCAGAAATAAAAAAGACCAACAAGTTGGATACATACAGTAACTTGGATAGATCTCATGATTTTACTACTTATGCTAAGTGAAAAAAATCTCATTGGCTACTTCTATATAATTCTGTTTCTAGGACATTGTTGTTTAGTTGATAAGTCAGGACTGATTCCTTGCAATCCCATGGACTCCCACCTGGCTCCTCTCTCCATGAGATTTCCCAGGCAAGAATACTGGAGTGGGTTGCCATTTCTTTCTCCAGAGACTCTTCCTGACCCAAGGATTAAACCTGCATTTCCTGCAGGCAGATTTTTTACCATTGAGCCACCAGGGAAGCCCCTCTATGACATTACTAAACAACAAAATTGTATGGATAAAGAACAGATGAGTGATTGTCTGGGGTTAATGATTAGGGAAGGGGGTCAGTGTGGCTACAAAGTTGTGCATGGCCTAGGGAAACCTTGCTATGATGAAACAGTTGTGCATCTTGGATGTGGTGATGAACCTATACATGTGATATACATGAATACATGAATTTGTACATGTGTAAAACTGAATAGAGCCACACACACACACACACACACATGTATCGGCATGCAAAACTGAGGAAATCTAAAAATTGAAACGTGTAGACTTTACTAATGTCAATTTCCTGGTTTAGATACCATGGAGGAGACCGGGTAAAGAGTACACAGAGCCCCCTTGTACATTTTTGGAAACTTCCATGACTCTATAGTGATTTAAAATTAAAAGTATTTAAAAAATGACATGCAAGTTTCTTAAAGTTCACAACTGTAAATCATCTCTTGAGCTTCGTTACACATCACTCATCCAGCTCCTGGATTCGTTTAGTGTCTGTTCTACAAAGAGCTCCTGCATTTATCTTGCAGTTATCTTTCTCATGTTCTTTCTGAGATACACATTCAGAAACAAAGAAAAGCTGCTGTCTAAATATGATTGTAAAAGAGCTTGCTAAGTGTGGTTAAAATGAATTATATCAAAGGATGCTAAAATGGATATAAGTTAGTTCAGTGACTTTTAAATCACTGAGAAATTACCAAATTTTCAAATAAAAAGTCCAAGAACAAGAAACTCCAAACACTGTTAGTGTAAGAACTTCTGTGCTGCTTATTCTTTCTTGTCACTTAGTTGGTGAAGGATAAAGTGACATCAAAACAGTGCAGCTGAGAGCTGATGCTCTTTTTCTGCATTGAAGCTAATGGGGTTGGGGCAGAGTGTGCTGTTCAGACAAGTCTTAAGAGAGCTCCTATAAATGGTGATTGACTCCACAACATAGACACATGTTCAATGACAAAATCCAATGGGATGTCACAGAACCAAGCAAAACAAAGCTAGTTTTGCTATACTTATCTTCTGCTACCCACTCTGCCCTGTGACTTTCTGACCTGTCTGATGTCTATATCGGAGAGCTCTTCTTTCCCTCTGCCATGATCGCCCATTCTGTCCTCCTAAGATCTATCAAGTTCTTGACCCTGAGTTTTAGTTATACTTGGTCCCTGAAGCCAGGCATAAAATTATTTGAAGAAATGGATTTCTTAACTTATATTCCCAATTCTTTGTCAAAGAGGTTTCCAGACAGATGCACAATAATTCTATCCCTCTGCTTTTCTCAGCACTCTGGTCTCTTTGAGGTCTCCCCTGCTGAGACTCCTGTGTACCATAGAAGGGAACACAGTCCATTACACCAATGCCACTGCTGCTAAGTCCCTTCAGTCATGTCTGACTCTGTGCAACCCCATGGACTGTAGCCTGCCAGGTTCCTCTGTCCATGGGATTCTCCAGGCAAGAGTACTGGAGTGGACAGCCATGTCCTCCTCCAGGGCACCTTTCCTACCCAGGGATTGAACCCATGTCTCTTACATCTCTTGCACTGGCAGATGGGTTCTTTACCAGTAGTGCCAGTTAAGAAGCCCCATCACACTGATGCTTGGGCTCATCTCCTATAACCCTTGGTAGCAGTTTACCTTTAAAGTACATTCAAGGAACAATGACATGATTAAAATTGCAGACAGAGAAGGCTTTTCTGATTACTTTAGACCTCCTATGTACTGTGCCCACCAACATAAAAGATGTCCTTCCCTCAATATTTGTCTTTATAGGTGGCATAGTTGTCCAGTGAGATGTTTGTGTTTGTGACCACCAGAGGGAAGTGATTCCATTCCTTTCATTTTTCCAGCGTCTTAAAAATCAAAAGCATGAAGCTACTAGAAGATTTGCTCGTGACTGGCTGAGCCCCAAAGGCTCTCTTGTGCATTAGAGAAGAACTAAGACACAGGAGCAGCTCCTCAGAGGAGAAGAATTGGAATCATTAAAATTGCATCAAGAGTGAGGTGGCAGGATGGAGAACATGCTGGAATGTGCATTCATAGTCTTGTGGCTTCAGCTTGGATGTAAGTTGCCGGTTAAGAGGTGAGAACTTATGGGCACATTTTTCCAAAGACGGGGAGGAGAGAGCGAGGAGTTTAGACACTGCCCATCCCAGGCTTTGTGTTGGGATTTTAAGTACTGCTGATCTGAAAGCTTTGTGTTGTTTCTGACTTTGTTCTCCTGAACAGGGCTGCGCGGAGAAGACCGAGTGGAGCAGAGTCCTCGGACCCTGAGAACCCAGGAGGGGGACAGTCTCAGCCTCAACTGCAGCCACACCGTCAGCGGTTTCAGAGCGTTACAGTGGTATAGACAAGACCCCGGGAAGGGCCCTGAACTCCTCTTCCTTCTTTACTCAGCTGGGGATGAAAAGCAGAAAGAAAGACTGAGAGCCACCTTGTTAAAGAAGGGAAGTTCTCTGCACATCGAAGCCCCCAAACCCGAAGACTCAGCCACTTACCTCTGCGCTGTGCAGACACAGTGCTCCCCAGGCACCTGCAGACTGTACCCAAACCCTGAGGCTGCGGCTCTAGAATAAGGGTGTCTTTGCTATTTTCCTGCCTCCTGAGCACCCAGAGCCTCTTCCCAAGTGGTCCTATGGAGAACGAACTCTTGTGACTCAGCCAGACGGCAGAGATTACTGGGCATTCTGTCCAGGATCCTAGACAGTACCCCCGCCCCGGGTGTCCATGGATCAGTCTGCTCTTTTAAACAGCCCAGAGCTTCCCCCGTGTAGACTTGAAAGGGATAGTGGTGGTATTGGAGTCTTGGTTTCCAGTCTTGGGCCCCTTGAAAAGATGCCACAGGAATGCACCTTCTTCCCTGAAATAATTTTTTTGGCATTCTCTTATAATAATCTGGCCACATGTCTGTAAGAGAATCTTTCCCATTTTAATATATTCTCAAAGGTCATATCTCCACCAGCGCTTATTACTACATTTTTCTTCTCCTTAATAATCAAGTTAGTTGACTGTCTAGACTTACTGTCTCCATTTCCTCAAGTCCCAGTCCTCCTCTCCTTGAACCTGACTTCTGTGAGCATTACTCTGAGAGAAGCTCTCACTTAAACCAGTGGCTTTGGTGGTGATAAAGCCAATGATTATTTTTCAACCTCATCTCATCTGAGATTCTCACTTTCTCATCCTTTTTAAAAATAAAATTTCTTTTTTTAATCAAAATAATACTGTCATTTATTTATAAAATGAAATAGCCCTCTCTTTTTCTTCCCACTCTTTCACATAGTCTATTTTTGCCTACCCAGAGGAACCACTTTTTATTCTCAGGTGATGACACTGACATTTATCTCCATATTCAAAATGCTTCTTGACTTTCTCTTCTCTCTCTAACTGAGGTACAACACATATAATAAAGTGTACAAAATGGAAGGTTAGAACTCAATGAAATTTTACACTTGTTAATATCTACATGCATAGTGTATATTATCTCTGGCTTTTTTCACTCAATAATATCTTTGCAATTCACTGGTATCACTTTGTGTATGTCTTGTTTTTTCTTTTTTTAATTGATGTGTAGAGTTGCTCTATATGAATATCTAAAAATTTAATTATCCATCCTACCAGAAGTAGATATTTGGGTTGTTTGGATTGATTACAGTTTTGTGCTATTGTGTAAAAATCTGTGTGTGAGGGAAAAAAACCAGATTTTTTTCCTTTTTGTGTAGGGAAAAACCCAGTTCTGCCCTGTTATGTCCTTCTTTCCTATGAGTCTCCTTTACTACTCGCACAAAACATTTCTGGTCAACAAATGTGTTTTTTCCCATACTAAGCAATTCTCTGCAATCCCATCTGAGTATCCTATCATTCTATTCAGTTCTGACATTTTCTACCTGAAAAAGGCATGCCAGTCACAAGCCCAAGTGATCAACTGTGCTTCTGAACAAAAGACTGTAGATAGAAGATTCCCAAAACAAGATGAAATAAAACAAAACCCTGGGCTCAATTAATTCTCTAGAGTGACTCACAGAACTAGGAGAAATATTTCACTTATTTTTACCTGTTTATTATAAAAGGCTGTGATAAAGGATACAGATGAATATCCAGATGGAAGAGACATGTAGGGTCAGGTTTGTGAGAGGAACTGTAGAGCTTCCATGTCCTCTCCAGGGACCACTCGCCTAGCACCTCTGTGTGTTCACCAATGGAAAGCTCTTCAGTAGGTCTGGGGTCTGGGCAGTGGTCCTACGAGATGACTCCCCAGCCCACTTGTCATTCTCCATTTTCATTTTAACTGCACCCCACAAATGATATAGCAAGTCCTACTTAACTGGCTAAGATCACCTATAAAAAGTTGAATAGAATTCTTATTCCCAAACTCAGAGGTAAAGCATTCAATACTTCACTGTGCCTATTAATTATAGTGTTTTTGATAAATATTCTTTATTTATTTAAATTGATCTTTAAATGTGAAACCTACTTTCATTTCTAGAGTTAAGTGCCCTTAGGAATGTTGTTTTGTCCTTTTTACATAATGAAACATTGATTTGCTATTAGTTTATTGAGCACTTCCCCCCATTTTCCTGAATGATACTAGTATTCAACTTTTTCTTTTCTATGTTAATGTCAGATTTTGGTATCAAGATTGTAATGGTTCATTAGGTAACTTGCAATTTATGGCTTCTTTTCTACCTGTAGAAGAATTTGTGTAGGGTTTTTAATGATGTAGAAACAATTTTCAGAAAGCTCACTATAGTGAGGCCATGTAAACATAGCCTTATGGGAGAAACTTAATAATCCTGAAATTATGGATTCAGTTAGTTTAACAGATAAAGGGTTCTTTATATATTTAGTTTTCTCTTATGATGGTTGACAAATTGTGTTTTTTTCTGCCCATGTTTTATTATTTGCTACCTTTACTGTCTTTTATTTTAACTTGCTACTTTTTCCAGCTCTTTGAGTTGCAACTTTGCCTATTAATTCTCAACATTTCTTTTTTCCTGACAAATATAATTTAAATTCATAAATTTGTCTCTAATTACAAATATTCCTTGACTTACAATGGTGTTATGTGCCAAAAAACTTATCATAAGCTGATAATATCTTTAGTCAAAAGTTCATTTAATATACCTGAACTCTTTGTCTTTTATTTTAACTTGCTACTTTTTCCAGTTCTTTGAGTTGCAACTTTGCCTATTAATTCCCAACATTTCTTTTTTCCTGACAAATATAATTTAAGTTCATAAATTTGTCTCTAATTACAAATATTCCTTGACTTACAATGGTGTTATGTGCCAACAAACTTATCATAAGCTGATAATATCTTTAGTCAAAAGTTCATTTAATACACCTGAACTCTGAACATCATAGCTCATCCTAGCCTACCTTAAACATGTTCAGAACACTTATATTAGCCAACAGTTGGGCACAATTATCTAATACAAAGCCTTTCTTATAATTTGATGCTGACTACCACATATAATTTATTTGGCACTGTACTGAAAATGAAAAACTGAGTGGTTGTCTAGGTTCACAAGGGTTGTGTGTTGGTTGTTTACCTTTGCAATCGGGTAACTGACTGGGAGCTGCAACTCACTGCTGATGTTCAGCACTAAAAGACAGCATCATACTAGCCCATAAACAAAATTCAAAATTAGAAGTGCAGTTTCTACTGAATCCATATTATTTTTGAACCTTCATAAAGTTGGAAAACAATAAGTCAGGGACTTTCAGTACTGCTTTTGCTGCATCTTACATGTTTTGATATGTCATATATTCATTATTATTCAACTAAAATATTTCCATTTGAAGTGGGACCTAAGAATGGCCAAATCCTGCCATGCTCACCACAGGGAAGATTCCTGAAGATGCTGTATATATTAGCTTAAGACAAACAGAAAGTGAAGAAGGACTTTTAGCTGATCCCTGGACTTAATTACCTCCAGTATCTAATATCACTGGTCCTCTGATTACCTCTTGGAAAGGTAAGTTTGAGGTTCATGCCTAAGTAGAGTTTCCTACTTCCTTCTGAATCCAGAATAGCAAGCTCAGAATTCCTACAAGGATGAGGTGGAAAAGATAGGCACACCTCAAATTGGCCAAGAGTTGATTTACTTTTCAGGCATCTGGGCTGAAATAGAAAGAAGAGGCAGCCCATCCCAGGGCACTAAATTAGCCCTCTATAGAAATGCATTTATCACAGGTCGGCAAAGACTTCAAAATGCAGGAGCTGTAAGCAGAAGAAGTGGGCTCTGGGGTCCTGTGTTTAAGTTAGACTGAGAGCTGACCTCCCGGGCTTCTCCGGTGACTCAGATGGCACAGAGTCCGCCTGCAGCGCAGGAGACGCGGGCTCAACCCTTGGGCCAAGAGGATCCCCTGGAGAGGGGACTGGCTGCTCACTCTAGGATGCTTGCTTGCAGAATTCCATGGATAGAGGAACCCAGCAGGATACTGGCCATGGGATCTCAAATAGTTGGACATGAATGAGTGACTAGCATTTTCACTTTTTCTCAATCTCCTACTCATAAATGGACTCTGAATGACAGAATCAGCCCTCCTCACTCCTCCTTTGTGGGTAGAAGAAGAGGGGGGGTTTACAAAGAAGGGAAGAAGAAGTGGAAGCTTCCTGATTCAAGGAGAGAGACACAGGTATTCTTATCCATACCTCCTGGTTTTGTTCAGTTTTGATCTTTTGGATTTTTAGCTTTATAGTCTGCCCAATGTCTTCAGTGGAATAGATCTGAGAATTATCATGAGATTCTTGTTTCTACCTGCTGTCTTTTTGTCATTCTCATCTTCAACATCAGAGTCTTTATTATCATTTATTGAACCACTACCATATGCCAGGTCCATTGCTCAGCACTTTAGATACTCCTTCTGTAATCTAAAACCCACAAAGTAATATTAATCTATCCTCAGGTAAGGAAACTGAGCCTTAAACATGTTTAAAGATGAAGGGATTTCTGAGATAAATGCTGCAGGCAACATAAAATGAGAATTAAAAAATAAAAACTCCAGAGTTAAACAGTTCACATTTTTTCTGCTAAACAGCAGAAAGTAACATAACACTGTAAATCAGCTATACTCCAACAAGAATTAATCTAAAATGTAAATAACCAGTTTGAATAAGTCCAAAAATTCTTTGCAAGTCAGAAATAAGTCTACTTACTCTTTTGACAACTCTATAGTATAACACAGATCTATCATAACATATTGAATATTTGTATTGAAGGATATTTAAATATCCTTGCTGCATACAACATGAAATTTTATAATGTATTTATAAGGTTATTTCTTAAAAAATTCTCAGAGAAGTGGAATATCTGGCCAATGATATGAAAATAGCACTTATGAATCTTATTTAGTTTATACTTCGGTTATAGGATGTGAAAGTGCCCATTTCCTGATATAACACAAACATTGAATGTGAATATTATGATTCTTAACTCTTTTTGCAATCTGATGGCTGAGAAATGATAGAAAGGGATTTTTCAAGAAAGTGTGAATTAAAGAAAACAATTCTTAAGAACTGAAGTGGCAAGAGGAGGGAGCAGTTACAGGAATGTGAAGAGGTTCAGCTGCAGCTGTGCAGTAAAACTTATGATTTCTTCTTTTCTAACATAAGCATTTAGGGTTACATTTCTCCTCTAGGTACCTGTGTGTATGAGTTACTCAGTATTGTCTGAGTCTTTGCCACCCCATGGACTGTAGCCCACCAGGCTCCTCTGTCCATGGAATTTTCCAGGCAAGGATACTGGAGTGGGTTGTCATTCCTATCTCCAGGGGGTCTTCCCTATCCAGGGATCGAACTTGGGTCTCCTGCATTGCAGGCAGATTCTTCACTGTTTGAGCCGTCAGAGAAGCCCCTCTAGGTGCATACTTAGCCACATTCTGCAAATCTGATGTGTTAAAAATTGTTTTCCTTAGGAGGAGGAAAAGAGGAGGGAAAGAGATAAGCATTTCTCTGGCAACGCTGGGCTTAGCCCTGAGATGATGGTGTTTCCATGGCAACCTCACACTCCTGGCAGATAGGCTTCTGGCGCGTCCTCCTCTGTGCCTCTGTGACTTGCTCTGATTGGCTGAGCTGGCTCTGCGTTTCCTGTAGAAAGTTTTGAACACAAGAGGCAGCAAAGCAGGTCTTTTATCCTGCGAGTCCTTGAATATTTTACAGACACAAGAATTCAGTTCTCCAGTGAGTCTAAATGACAGAAGGAATGGACATGCCTCTGTGACTTGCTCTGATTGGCTGGGCTGACTCTGTGTTTCCTGTAGAAAGTTTTGAACACAAGAGGCAGCAAAGCAGGTCTTTTATCCTGCAAGTCCTTGAATATTTTGCAGACACAAGAATTCAGTTCTCCAGTGAGTCTAAAGGACAGAAGGAATGGACAGATTCCTGAGCCTGCTCATCCTTTGGGTACAACTAAACTGTGAGTTAGAGGGATTTGGAAATGGGCAAAGAATGGGCAACTCCCGGATATTCCTCCCCAGGGAAGACAGAAAGTCAGGGAGTTGTACCTGCATGGTTTCTGGGAGTTCCTGTGGAGAGCGAAAAAGTAAACTTAAGTTAGTTTCCAAGAATAATCAGCCACTAGCCGGCCTGTCTCTGTTTTCTCTTTCTGAACAGGGGTGAGCAGTAAGCAGGACGTGAGTCAGAGTCCTGAAGCTCTGAGCGTGAGAGAGGGAGACAGCGTGGATCTCAACTGCAGTTACACCGACAGCGCTCTGTACTTCCTGCAGTGGTTTAGGCAGGATCCCAGGAAAGGGCTCACATCCCTACCGTCAATTCAGGCGAATCAGAAAGAGCAAACAAGTGGAAGAATTACAGTCTCGTTGGATAAATCACCAAGACACAGTGCTTTACACACTGCGACTTCTCAGCACAGTGACTGGACCACTTACCTCTGTGCTGTGAGCCACAGCGCAGAGGGAACCTGTCCCAGGACTCAAACTGCAGGTGGGGNCTACTGTCAATTCAGGCGAATCAGAAAGAGCAAACAAGTGGAAGAATTACAGTCTCGTTGGATAAACCATCAAGACACAATGCTTTACACACTGCGACTTCTCAGCACAGTGACTCGACCACCTACCTCTGTGCTGTGAGCCACAGCGCGCAGAGGGAACCTGTTCCCAGGACTCAAACTGCAGATGGGGCTCCAACCACGTCCTGGCTTGGTGCTGAGGAAACTTCTTCCATTAAGGGGTTTTCTATATTGACTTTCCTTCCAGATAGAGGCAATTAGCAAGGGTAGGATAATTTGAGAGAATAGCATTGAAATGTGTACATTACCACAGGTAAAATAGATGACCAGTGCAAGTTCCATGCATGAAGCAGGACACCAAAGCCCACGCTTTGGGACAACCAGGAGGGATAGGGTGGCAGGGGAGGTGGGAGGGGTGCTCAGGATGGTGGAGACACAGGTATACCTGTGGCTGATTCACGCTGATGTAGGGCAAAAACCATCACAATATTGTAAAGTTATTGTAAAGTTATTGTAAAGTTTATCCTCCAATCAAAATAAATAAATTAATTTAAAAAAATCTTTTAAAATGACCTAAAATTTGGAATTCTTTGATTGTTAGATTTTCATCAACTTCAATTTAAATAATAGTTTTACAATCTAAATGGGAAAATAATTTGAAAACGAACAGATACATGTGTATGTATAACGGAATCACTTTGATGTATACCTGAAAATAACACAACATTGTTAACCAGCTCTTCTCTAATATAAAATAAAAAGTCAAAAATAGTAGTTTTGTTGAGATTAAGCAACATTTCACACAATTCTCTCTTTCAAATGAACACCTAAGTGTGCATCTAGTGTATTCACTACATGGCACAATCACTACCTCTATCTAGATTTGAAACCTTGTCATCACCCAGAAAGGAAACCACGCGCCCATGACACAGTCACTCCCCGCACTCCCCATGCACACATCCTTGGAAGCCACCCACCTGCTTTCTGACCAGGGGTTTGCTTATTCTATGCATTTTATGCAAATGGAATCTTACAATACATGGCATTTTGGCATTGTTTACTTTACTTAGCATAATACTTTGGAAGTTCATTCAATTCAGGAGCAACTGCTAATGTTAGTTAGTTAGTGAAAGGCTCTCAGTCGAGTCCAACTCTTTGCGACCACATGGACTATACAGTCCATGGAATTCTCCAGGCCAGAATNAGAGCAAACAAGTGGAAGAATTACAGTCTCGTTGGATAAACCATCACGACACAGTGCTTTACACACTGCGACTTCTCAGCACAGTGACTGGACCACTTACCTCTGTGCTGTGAGCCACAGCGCAGAGGGAACCTGTCCCAGGACTCAAACTGCAGGTGGGGCTCCACCTGCATTGGAGGTGGATTCTTTACCAACTGAGCTATGAGGGAAGCCCAGAGCCAACTGGAGAAAGGCCAGTGTTCATCCTTAGCCAATCACATAGGATGCCATACTGCTAATTAGCCTGCTGACATTGTCCCTGTTCTTCCCACCCCCCTCCACCTGTCTGTTTTGCTAGAACTTTGTCAGTTTTCCTGATTCTCTTAAAGAACCAGCTCTTTGTTTCATTGATTTTCTCTATTGTTTATTTCTTTTAAATTTCATTGATTTCTCCTTTAATCTTTATTAATTTTTTATGCTTGTTTTGGATTAATTTATCTTTTCCTTGTCCAGGTTCTTCAGGTAGAAGCTTAGATAATCTATCTGAGATTTTATTCTTTTTTAATATTTGCATGTAGTGCTAAAATTTCACTCTCAATACTTCTTTGGCTATGTCCCCCCAATTTTGGTATGTTGTATTTTCATTTTTATTCAACTCATGGGAAATTCAGTGATTTCCCTTGAGACATTCTTTGTGACCCATAGATGATTCAGAAGTGTGTTGTTTGGTTGCCAAATGTTTGGGAATTTTCCTGTATCTTTCTGTTACTTATTTATACTATTATTTCATTGTGGTTGGAGAACATACTCTTTATATTTCAGTTCTTTTACATTAGATTTGTTGTTTTTTTGGTCCCAAGATTTGGACTTACTTGGTATATATTCCACAGACACTTGACAAGAAGTATATTCTGCTCTGGTTGGGTGAAGTGTTGTATAAATGACAATTAAATCCTACTGGTTAGTGGTGTTATTGAGTTCTTCTATATATCTGCTGATTTTCTGCAAGTTATTCTACCAGTTGTTGAGAGAGGAATGTTGAAGTATTTAACTATATTTCTAGATTTGTTTCTTTTCTTTTTAGTTCTAATTTTTGTTCCATTTATTTTTCAGTTCTGTTAGTTAGTATATATACATTTAGGATTACTATGTCTTCTCAGTAAATTATCCTTTTCTTCAGTAAATAATATTTCTCTGTCTCTGGTAATTTTCTTTGTTCAGGAGTCTGTCTACTTTATCTGGTATTAATATAGCCATTATACTTTCCTTTGATTAATGTTTGCTTAATACATCTTTTTCCATCTTTTTAGATGACTTTCAAGGTGACTATGTATTATTTGAAATGAATTTCTTTCAGAAAGTTATAGTTGGGCCGTGTTTCTTAATCCACTTTTTGTCTGAACTGTTTTGACACTGGTGTGTTCAGATCAACTTCTGTGTCTTAGTTTTTGTGTGTAGATCACTTGTTTTTAATGTCTTGATATTTTAGGGCTTAGCCTTCCATTTTATTTGATTTTTTGTTTGCACTTTTTTTTTGTCCCCTATGTTTTTCCTTCTAACCTCCTGTGAGTTATTCAACATTTTCTAGGATTACACTTCAATTTATCTGCAGTGTTTTGTGTGTGTGTGTGTGAGTTGCTCAGTTGTGTCTGACTCTTTGCGACCTCAGGGACTGTACCCTACCATGGCATTCTCTAAACAAGAATACTGGAGTGGATAGCCATTCTCTTATCCAGGGCATCGTGTCAACCCAGGGACTGAACCTGGGTCACCCACACTGTAGGAAGATTCTTTTATGGTCTNCATGGCTGCCTATAGCATTTAGATGTGTCTTATTGTATAGCTGTTTTTATATGGTTGCTCCAGTTATTGCATTTACATAACACAGTCTATTGGTAATATTATTTTACCTATTTGAATGTAATGCATAAGTATTGCCTCCCTTTACACTTATTCATTCTCTCCATTCATAAAATAATTTTCTTTAGTATTTCCTCCATGTGTGTCTAGAGCCTCATTAGACAGTGTTATAATTTTTCCCAGATATATAATTATATTATTATATATATGTTATTATATAACACATTTAATATGCTATAAAATATTTCCACCGAATATAATTTAGGAAATTCAAGAGGAAAAGTCTATTGTATTTATCCATATTTTTGCTTATTGTATTCTTTATTCCTTCTTGTTGTTTCAAGACTCCTTCCTTTATAATTTTATTTCTGTTTGTAGAGCTTCCTTTAGACATAATTTTAGGATAGGTCTTCTGCTGACCACTTTTCTTAGTTTTCCTTCAACTGAGAATATCTGAATTTCACCTTTATTAGTGAAGGCTTCTGGATTAATGGATCTTCTCTTTCTGAAGTTGAAATATATTGGATTATTTCCTTCTGACTCATTTAAATCTGGAGACTAAAAGAATTGTAACACTGTGATTTTATGTTTCATTCTAAAAATTATTTTGTATCCAACACTTAGAAGTTGAAGGATAGCTGATTGACAATGTTATGCTAATTTCTTCTGTAGAGCAAAGTGACTCAGTTATACATATATAGACTTTCTTTTTTATTTTCTTTTCCATTATTGTTTACCCCTGGATATTGAATATAGTTCCCTGTGCTATACAGTAACACAGGAAATTTTTAACTCATAATTCTGTTTTTTTAAAAAGCCAAATAGTTCAAGGCTCACAACATATAAATCCTCTTCTGTACATAATCATAATGCTTTGAAATTCAACCACAGAAGGGCAGTAAAAAGATGGGGCATGTTAATGAAAAGTGAACTTCTCCATTGTTCTCTATTTGGCCTCTGGAGAGCACTGCTGCCTAAGTTGGAAATTGTTTTTCTGTGAAGGATCAGAAGAATCTCACAAAACCCTAGGTTTTAACAAGATATTCTGATCATTTTTTACACAGTGAGATGTAAAGCATCTCAGACACCAGAGACAGGCATTTTGTTAAGACAGCTTCTCTTCCTAACAACCTCCCTACCATCTCCATCAGAAGAAATATATATCCTTTGTCATTCTTAATTTCAGAGAAACCTGGGTTCAAGTCAGCCAGTCTTCAGACTTATTTGTGGGGAACCTGTTAGAAAGGAGCTCACTGCCTCTTCACTGCTCCACTATGACCTTGGTGTTCACCTTGATGCTTGAGATGCTCCTGTTTCTGAGTGAGTATTGCTCCATTTTACTCCTTTGTCCACATGTGGAATATTACTCCATGTTGAATAGAGACTTTTTGTTTTAGCTGAGTTCACTGATTCAGCATTTATGTCTCAGCAGGAGCTGGAGCCCAGTCAGTGACCCAGGCTGATGACCACATCACTGTCTCTGAAGGAGCCCGTCTGGAGCTGAAGTGCAACTACTCATCTTCTGTTTCACCATACCTCTTCTGGTCCGTGCAGTTCCCGGACCAAGGACTCCAGCTTCTCCTGAAGTACGTGTCTGGAGACAATCTTGTTTCAGGCATCAAAGGTTTTGAGGCTGAATTTAGGAGGAGTGAGAAGTCCTTCCACCGGAGGAAAATACCAGCTCATTGGAAAGACTCGGCCAAGTTCTTCTGTGCTCTGAGTGAGCCTGGGACTGCAGGAGGAGCTGAACACAGACCTCCTGGACACTGTAGCTCAGTCTTTGTTATATTAGGAAGTTGGCGTGTTCTGTGAAGGCAAACAGTACAGACAATACAGAGTACTGGAAATGTTTGGTTCCCATGGGAATATTAGATTCTTCTTTTTTTCATTTTTTCTTGTCTTTTCTATTCTTTTTTCTTTATTATTTTGCAAAGGAAAGACTCCTGTTTTCTGAATTTTGGAATTTTTGTCCTCTAGAATCAAAATTCCAGGGAAAATGAGGCCATAGAATTTTCAACAAACTGGAGAAAGCTACTTACTGCCGGGTCATTTGGAATAGTGATGGGCTGAGATATAATAGCTTGAGGTTGGCCATGTGAGTTGATATAACACAAGTCAGACAATTTCTTTACAATATTAATCTCATCTCTCAAGTAACAAAAAACCCTGGACAATGGCTTATTTCTAACTGCATTATCTCCAGACTATTTTGCTAGTATCCTAAGAGGCTTCTTCCCTTAAAGGATTTCAACTCTTTGACTGAAGCATTTGGGACTGATGCAGCTAATTACTGCTAGCACTTAAAGATGTATATGGGTGACCTTTCCAAAGACAATATTTCAGTTTCAGTTCAGTTGATCTTCATTTTTTCTTGTCTTTTCTATTCTTTTTTCTTTATCATTTTGCAAAGGAAAGACTCCTGTTTTCTGAAATTTGGCATTTTTGTCCTCTAGAATCAGAATTCTAGGTAAAATGAGGCCATAGAATTTTCAACAAGCTGGAGAAAGCTACTTACTGCCGGGTCATTTGGAATAGTGATGGGCTGAGATATAATAGCTTGAGATTGGCCATGTGAGTTGATATTACACAAGTCAGAGAATTTGCTTTACAATATTAATCTCATCTGTCAAGCGAACAAAAAACTCAGGACAATGCCTTATTTCTAACTGCATTATCTCCAGACTATTTTGCTGGTATCCTAAGAAACTTCTTTCCTTAAAGGATTTCAACTCTTTGACTAAAGCGTTTGGGACTGGTTGAGCTAATTACTGTTGGCACTTAAGGATGTATACGGGTGACCTTTCCAAACACAATATAGTGTGAAGCAAAAAAAGTTCTCCTTTATTCATCAGTCTCCATTAATAGGCTTCCCAGGTGGTGCAGTGGTAAAGAATCTGCCTGCCAATGCAGGAGATACAAGGGCATCCTCCCTAATGAGGCGGAAGATGAGGAGTGCAGTGAAGAGGTGGTTAAGTCATCCATATGGGGCAGTTCTTCTGGGTCTGTGTTTATCTTTGGCCAGATATCTCTCTCCTTTCCCCACATCAGACCTGTTTTAGGACACTCCTGAAAGATGCATGTGCATCTTTTTGCCAAGGTGGATTCCAGCACAGAGCTTTGTGGGATGCTTGGCATCATCTGTTATGAGGTGCTGCCACCTCCTTTTTGAGCTCCGAGGGGTCTTTCTGTGCCTGCACAGTTTTCCTTGACCTCTTGACCTCAGAAGTGGTCACTTGTTTACTCTAGCAGAGCTCAGCTCCTGCCGTTAATTGTCTTGGTTACTGAGGCTAATTAGCATGACAGGTTAATGAATCTGAGAGAGGAGGTGTGGGGGCAAGGAGTTTATTCGGAAAGCTGGCTGACCAAGAAGATGGCAGACTAATGTCTCAAAATAACCATCTTGTCTGGGTCTGGGTGCCAGGTTCTTTTACAGAACAGGGTAGGGGAAGGTGAGGAAACAAATTAAAAAAAGCAAAATTAATCTTGTAAACATCTCCTAGAATGGCAAGCCTCAGGCAGGGGATATAGTAATTTCTACTTTCCTACCATCCACAAATGGACAGGTCCTGAACAAAAGCCTTTTAGCAGTCAGGCAGAGGGGCTGATTCTCTGAGGCAGCCCATTATGTATGATTATAATAACAAAAGCAATGAAAAGCAAGTCAAAGGAACAGTTCCAACAGGTAGAATTGATTCTTCCCTCAGTATTTGGAATGTGTAGGGAAAACAAAGCTTGGATTTTACTCTGCTTGACAAATACCAGCTGTCTAGCCCAGGGGCCCATCTACCTCCTACCTCTAAGTCAAAGGAACAGTTTCAACAGGTAGAATTGGTTCTTTCCTCAGTATTTGGAGTGTGTAGGGAAAACAAAGCTTGAATTTTACTCTGCTTGACAAATACCAGCTGTCTAGCCCAGGGGCCCATCTACCTCCTACCTCCGAAACTCACTCTGAGTTTTCATGTGCTCAGTTGTTCAGTCGGGTCTTACTCTTTGCCATCCCGTGGACTATAGCCCACCAGACTCCCCTGGCCATGGGATTTTCCAAGCAAGAATACTGGAGCTGGTTGCCGTTTCCTTCTCCAGGGGACCTTCCTGACCCAGAGATTGAACCCCCCATCTCTTTCGTCCCCTGCATTGGCAAGTATATTCTTTACTGCTCCATCCCCTGGAAAACTCTTTCAAATGGAGGTTAGTAATAATAGAGGAGAATAATTTTGTGTGAAGAAAAGCTAAACCATTATCGGCATATAAGAAGTATGCTTTTTGATGACTATTCCTTTCAATTAATAGCTCTGTCTTATTCCCTGATTCAAGCACTAGACATTTATGACCATAATGCAAAATATCTATATTTACATTGATTGTTATTATCTTTATCTACATCATTATCTTTATCCATAGCTCTCAGGAAAGTCCCCTGGATCAAACAGGGAGTCATAAACAAAAGGTAAGATGGAAAATTTTGAAGTATAGATACCAGCTTTTTCTGATTTTTTTTCCATTTTTATTGCCTAAGATTTATTTATTAATATATATCAGGAGAAAATAGGAACTTTCAATTCACAAGTTCAAAATTATGTATAAGACATTGCATGTCACCTTTTCCCTCCACTCTCACCCCTCTTTAACCTGTTTTTAGTTCAGTTGAAACCAGAGGGTGGGGCTTCCTGTCACAGAGTGTCCGCTGAGCATGGTTTGTTGGCTGAGCTGATTGGTTGCAGGAGCTGAAACATCCAGACAAGTCATGACACTCACCACCCAGGGTTTGCTATGTATCTTGTGAATGTTTTCCAGCAACAAGGCAAAGCGTCATGAAAAGGCTAGTGGACACCGTACTGGGGCTTTTGTTTGCCCAGGTTTGCTGTGAGTTGGGGCTGCCCCACAGGGGAATCTGAAGGAATGAGCAGCTTCTCTTTTGTTGAAGGAAGAAGAGGAGCTGACAAGTCCTGCAGACTTTCTATCCTTATCATTTATGGGGCTGGGGGTGTACTTCCCGGGTTTTGCAGGCGCTCTGTGACCCTCACCTGTGACTGTTTCTCTCCTTTTCATCAGGTGTGCGAGGGGTGGATGTGGAGCAGAGTCCCCCAGCCCTGAGTCTCCAGGAGGGAGCCAGCTCTACTCTGCGGTGTAATTTCTCCACCTTCCCAGACAGTGTGCAGTGGTATCTTCAGAACCCCGGGGGCCGCCTCACCCACCTGTTTTACATTCCTTCAGGGACAAAGCAGGAAGGAAGATTAAAGGCCACCACAGTCCCTGCAGAACGCCACAGCTCACTGCACATTTCCTCTTCACGGACCACAGACGCGGGCACTTACTTCTGTGCTGTGCAGCACGGTGCTCCCCAGGCACCTGCAGCCTCTACACGAACCCTCCTGGGGCTCAGCCCCTCCTCCAGCCTCAGTCACACCATGGGCCCCACAGGGTATTTGCAGTGCTTCATGTTACTCACCTGCATCAGGACAGCTTTAACCACAGACACTGTTTGGCCTACAGATTACGGACTTCGGTCTTTATCTTTCCTTCTCAGTCTGTGTCTCCTTCTGCACTAGAAACTTCGAACTGGGAACTAGCAGAGAAGTTGATACGAGGACAGAATTTAAATATTTAACCACAGCTTCCCAGGTGGCTCAGTGGTAAAGAATCTGCTTACCAAAGCAGGAGACGCAGGAGACATGGGTTCGATCCCTGGGTGGGGCAGATCCTCTGGAGGAGGAAACGGTAACCCATTCCAGTATTCTTGGGAAATACTGGGAAATCTCATGGACAGAGGAGGCTGGCAGGCTAACAGTCCATGGGGTCTCAAAGAGTTGGACATGACTGTGTGACAGAGCATGCATGCTGAACTCAAAAATGTTAAAAAGTGAAAGGAATTAAATGAAATCACTCCAATAAATATATTATCCAGCTTAGTCACCTTCTCCAGAATGTTCAAGTCTACCTCACCAAAAAGTGTTCTAAAAGACATTTATATGCCATGCTACTACTGTGGAAAGCAAACAAAAAATGTTTGCTCAATGTTTAATATGAACTTGATAAGTTAAAACAAATGAATTCTCTTATAGTTCTGGGTTGAAGAAGTATGAAAGCAATTTTGCTTGGCTGGCTGATAGGTTTCCTCTAAAGGCTTTAAGGAAGAATCCATTTCATTGCATTTTTCTAGCTTCTGGAGGTCACTTGGAATCCTTGGGTCATAGCCCTTCCGTGAATCACTGCAACCTCTTCTGTCACCTCAGCTCCTTTCTCTTCTGGAGTCAAATACTCTTCTGCTTCTAAGATGTAGGAAATTAGTAAATAAACAGAAACTCATTTAAATAGAGTTGGGAGACAGGGTGAGCTCTCATACCCTGTGAAGATAACACGATTAAAGGGTAGAAGATAGATGCCTCTTCTTTCCAGGCAAACACTGGGCCAGTGAAAAACCATGGACTCTGTTTACTGTGTGTGTGTGTTTGTGTGTGTGTGTGTGTGAGTGTGTGTTTTGTGTGTGTGTGAGTGTGTGTGTGCATGTGTGTGCGTATACATGTGTGTGTCTGTGTGTGTTTGTATGTGAGTGTGTGTGTTTGTGTGTGAGAGTGTGTGTGTGTCTGTGTGCATGTGTGTGTGTCTGTGTGCGTGTGTGTGAGTGTGTGTGCAGGGGCTTCTCTTGTTGCAAAGCACTGTCTCTAGAGTGCGTGGGCTCTGTAGTTGCAGCACATGGGCTCTCTAGTTATGGCACATGGGCTTAGTTGCCTGGTGGCATGTGGGATCTTAGGTCCCTATTAGGGATTGAACTGCGTCCCCTGCATTGAAAGGCAGATTCTTAAGCATTGGACCACCAGGGACATCCCAATGTAAACAAATGTAAATGTCTGTTTACAGTAGCACTCCCAACTTTCTTCTCTATAAGATCATTCTCTTGTCCTGTGGGGACTTGCATAAGGCTTGCCATGGTTGCATACTCCAAATTGAAATCCTTTGCTGATCCCAGCTAATCTCATCTTTCTGGAGAAATATCGGATAGTCTTTTTTTTTTTTTCTTGTCAGCAAAGTATGCATGGTTATGTAGAGACCCTACCCAGATAATCCAGAATAATTAATATTGAGAGAGTCAATTCCTAGGCAGATTGACAAGAAGTCCAGGGGTCCCCAAGGAGAGAATTCTCAAGGAGGAAGAAAGGACAAACTTTTTTTCCCTCTACATTCCTTAGCATTATATAACAGTAACGTATCCTGCTTGAGGACAGTCTCTGAAAAAAACCTTCTGGCTAATCCTATTATCTTAAAATGTAAATTATGGGAGTAGGTCTAGTGAGGTCTTTACAGCCTCCAGACATTCTTTTGATTCACTGTAATAACTAATTAGAGAGTGTATAACTCCATGGCTAACACTAGCAAGAGGGTAGTCTTTCTGCCCCCTTCTAACGCCCCTGTCAGAAGCTTTCTCTATCTCCTTTGTACTTTAATAAAACTTTATTACACAAAAGCTCTGAGCGATCAAGCCTCGTCTCTGGCCCCGGATTGAATTCTTCTCCTCCGGAGGCCAAGAATCCCAGCATCTTTGCGTGGTTCAGCAACACCTTTTCAGTATCAAGATCCTTCAACTAATCCTACACCTAAAGTCTACTTTGCCACATTTATATCTACTTAAAACTTTTAAAATTGAAACAAGTTGACTTACAATACTATATTAGTTTCAGATGTACAGCATAGCCATTTGATATTTTTAATAAATTACATACCATACAAAGTTATTATAAAATATTGATCATATTTCCTTTGGTGTACATTACAAACTTATCATTTATTTTATAACTGAGAGTGTACCGCTTAATTCCTTTCACCTATTTCACTCCTACACTCACTCCTTTCCCATCCAATGATCACTAGTTGTTTCATTATGTCTGTCAGTCTGTTTCTGTTTTATTATATTTGTTTTTCAGATTCCACATACATGTATTAAACATACAGTTTATTTGTCTCACTCTGACTTATTTCAATAAGTATAATACCCTCTGGGTCTATCCATGTTGTCCCAAATGGCAAGATTGTACTTTTTTTATGGTAATATTTCACTATTTATATCTATATTGATCTATCTACCTATCTACCATCTAGATCTTCTTTATCCATTCATCTATGATATGAATGAACACTGAGATGTTGTCAATATCTTGACTATTGTAAATAATGTTTCTGTGAGCATTGGGGTGCCTATATATTTTTGAACTAGCTCTTTTGTTTTCTTTGGATAAATACCCAGGAGTGGAAGTTCTGTATCATGTAGTTAGTACTATTTTTAATTTAACAAAAAATTGTCAGTCAATTTACTGTTATCTTTCCCACCACAACCACTAAAACCAGATAGGATCCTATTCACTACCTCTTTCCCCCCAAAAGGTGCTACCTCCTTTCTAAGCAATTGAGGAAGGATAAGACTTCAGGTTGCAGACATCATTCCATTTTTAATCTGGGGAGGGCAGAGCGGGGAGAATCTCCATATTGTTTTCCACAGAGGCTGCACCAATTCATATTAGTACCAACAGTGCACAAAGATTCCCTGTTCTCCACATTCTCACCAACCCTTGTTATTTCTTGCCTTTTTAATGACAGCCCTAGTAAGGTGATTTGCTCATTTGTCGTTCTCATTTGCATTTTACTGATGATTAAAGATATTAAGCATCTTTTCATGTGCCTGTTGGCCATCTGTATGCCTTTTTTGGTAAAATGCCTATACAGGCCCTCTGCCTAATTTAAAATAAGAACATGTTTTTGATATTAAATGTATAAGTTCTTCATATATTTTGGATATTAAATCCTTGTTGACATGTTGTTTGCAAATATCTTTTCCTTTTCAGATTGCCTTTTCTTTGTGTTAATGGTTTTCTTCTCTGTGCAAAAGTTTAGTTTCATTAGAAAAAAATATTATAAAGATGAATGTTACAGAGCATACTGTCTATATTTTATTTTAGGAATTTTATGATTTCAGCTCCTACATTTTAGTCTTTAAAACATTTTGAGTTATTTTTATTCATGCCGTGAGAAAAATTTCTAATTTCATTCTTTTACATGTAGCTGTTCAGTTTGCTCAAAACCTACTTATTGAAGAATCTGTCTTTCCCCCCGCTGTATATTCTTGCCTCTTTTGTCATAGATTGGTGCATAGATAGGTGTCATAGATAGGTGCATGGGTTTATTTTGGTTCTATTTTGTCCCATTTATCTATGTCTGTTTTTGTGCCAGTACCATACAGTTTTGGATTACTACGACTGTATAGCATATTTTCATATCAGAGAGTGTAGTATTTTCAACTTTTCTCTTTTTTCTCAAAATTGCTTCAGCTGTTGAGGTCTTCTGTGGTTCCATACAAATTCTGGGATTATTTTTTCTAGTTCTGTGAAAAATGCCATGGGTAATTTGATGAGGATCACATTGAATCTGTAGATTGTCTTGGGTGTATGGATATTTTAGCAATATTAACTCTTCCAGTCCATGAACCTGAGATATCTTTCTATTTATTTGTATTGTCTTAAATCATTTTCATCAAATCTTATAGTTCTCAAAATACAGGTCTTTCAATTCCTTTGTTGAAATTATTGCTAATTATTTTATTCTCTTAGATTCAATTGTAAATTGGATGTTTTCTTAAATTCTTTTTCTTATAATTCATTATTAGTGTATAGAAATGCAAAAGATTTCTATATATTAATCTGGTACCCTGCAACTTTACTGAGCTTTACTTTCATTTACTTATCCTAAGAGCTTTTTGATGGTACTTTACAATTTTCTATACACAACATCATGTCATTTGCAAATAGTGGCAGTTTCTTTCTTCCAATTTGGATGCCTTCTCTTTCTTTTTCATATCTGATTGCTATGGCTAGGACTTCCAGTACTATGTTAAATAGAAGTGGTTAGATTTGCAGACTTGTCTTGTTTAAGGTCTTAGAGAAAAAGCTTTCATTTTTTAAAACAACTGATCGTGATGTTAGCTGTTGGTTTGTCATAAATAACCTTTACTATTTTGAGGTACACTTTTCCCATATCAAGTTTATTGAGAGCTTTTATCATTAGCAGATATTGAATTTTGTCAAATGCTTTTTCTGCATCTACTGAAGTAATTATGTGGTTTTTATCTTTCATTCTGTTGTTGTGGTATATCGTATTGTTTGATCTGAGGATACTGAATCATCCTTGCATGCCTGGAATAAATCGTAGATGATCATGATGTATGATTACAAAGGGTCTTTTTAGAATAGTTCTAGTTCACTTGCTTATTGTTTCATTCTGTTGGGGTCTTAAATATTTGTGTCCAGTTACTGTCTCAATAATAGATTCAATAAATAATGCAAAAACATAAACAAGCTAAACTCATGTCATCAGTGTGTAAACCCAAAAATAAAAAGACAGCAGTATTAAGTGTGGGCAGAATATATAACACAATTTTCTGATTTAAAATCTATTTAAAGACATGGTCTCTTCAGTATAAAGGGCTCTTCTTGATTTGCTGCTGACATTATGGGAAGGACGACAGCTCCTTACACTGACTCAGTCTGAGGGTCAATATTTCAAC